ATTGGGCTGTTTATCAAAAAGCCTAGAGTTTCCAGTGGTTCGAATCCACTAGTGACTCTGTGGGAGAAAGACGAGCAGTCTTCTGATAACAGAGCCTTTGGAAACCTGATAGAGGGCTGCTATGAGTCTGAACAAACGCTATGGCAGTGAGTGACTTTGAGTGGATGTGAAGTCCAAAGCGAGGCTTAAACTAGTTCCATGCTGGAAGTTATGATCATTGTGGCCAAATGAAAGGGAAAGGATGAGAACGGGGAGATATGTAACAAGAAGGGTGCAAATCATAAGGAAGTATTGTTGAGACTGCTGCCCTCACATCCTGCGGACTGATGGATACTTTCTGTCCCTTTAAAAGGTGGAGGCACAGAGGAAAGAGCAAAGAAGTATCTTATGCCATTGGAAAACCACCCTTTGTAACTTGGGGTCATGAGATAGTAGCCAGCTGATTCTAAAGACATCAGTCATGGACCAGCCAATACCTCAACATTGTGTTCAGTCTTGACATTGAATTATAATAGTATCCATTCTGTAGGCTACACTATGCTAAATTGTTTCTGATATTTGTGTTGACTGATATTATTTGCCCCATTTTGCTGGTATCAAGGACAGGTGATTTTCTACGTGCTAAACAGCAAGTCCGAGTGGGTGTTTGGCTTCTTCAGTGTTGCACTAGAGTGCCCTAGAAAGAACTTGACCTTCAGAGCTAGATAGACTAGGATACCAGCTGTAATCTTGGGCACACTCCTGCATCTCTCTGTGCTTCAGTTTGAAATGGGAGTAATACCTACTTCACTGTGTTTTTAGGAAGGATGAATAGGATGGCATAAGTAACAAGCCTGGCATGTACAGAATAGGCTTTGTCAGAGGTCTTTTTGCTGTGGCTTTTCTTTGCCCAAAAGAGTAAATAAAAGTTATAGGAAGAGGAAATTATTGGGATAGTAAGCAATCAAACTTGTATGCTGTTTAAATAAATCGCCGTTGATTAAGCTACAGGTCGTGGTGACCCCATGTGTGTCAGAGTAGAACTGTGCCCCATAGAGTGTTCAACATCTGATTTGTCTTCTCTGGGGCCCTGGTAGACTTGAACCTCTAGCCTTTCAGTTAGCAGCTAACTGTGTTAGCCAGTTGTACCAGCCAGGGTCTCCTTTAAGCTATATAAAGTGTTTGAATCCACTTGCATGCTTTAATGAAATAACTAGCACAAATGAGAAGTCTTTCTGGGGTGTAGGAATTGTCTCTTAGATACCACCCAGCAGAATAAGGAAGCAAGGTTCATTTCCAGACTTTCGTGGTGTACGGGGTTTATACATCTTGCTGTTACTGTGCTGATTTCATGTACCTGGCCAATCTGGGGAAAAGGATCAGAAGGAGGGTAAGAGAAAAGAAGCCACTGCACTGCAAACCTATGTACAGATAAACTGCAAACCAGTGAGAGCAGAGGGCTGCAGTGGGGTCCACCCTGAGGAAGTTGAGCTGCATAGTCATTTTCACTCAGGGGACTTTAAAGAGTCAAATGTTGGACCTCCAAAAAGAAAACTTACCAGGAGCTAAGCCCATGTTGTTTCCTCTCTTGTACAGACTGCTTTTAAAACTCAAAAACCCCAAAGCTGACCCTTGCCCACATCCGTTTGCTTTCTTGACAAGTTCTCAAAAACAATTTATAGCTGTAACATCTAGACTTTGATTTTGGAGAAGGTAGAAATGGTGCCTTTTCATGTTTATATAACCATACAGAGTAGAGATCCTTAGAACAGCATACAGAAGAATGTAGAAAGTGGTGCCTCCCAAACTGAAACTGCTCAGCGGTCTTGAACTGTATTTACTAGAGGATATGTGCATTTGGTTTCTTTTGAGATATATATATATATGACTCATTTATATATCACCTGGCCTAGATTTCTAGGGAGCTCTGGTGGCTTAGTGGTAAGAAGCTGGGTTGCAATCAGAAAGGCACACAGTTTGAATATATCAGTTGCTCCATGGAAGGATGAGAAGTCTCCTCTCATGCCCTTAACTGCCTCAGAAAACTTATTGGAGGGTCAGTTATGGGTCAGTTCCAATTCGATGGCACACAAGAACAACAACAGTTTTCTAGTGTACTTAACAACAATAACACCGACAACCTAGAGAGAGCTCTGTTGACTTAGTGGACAGAAAGTGATGCTACCAAGCTCAAGGTGGGTGATTTTAATCTGCGGTCCTAAGGCCGGGTTTTAATTGTTGTTTTTTTGTCAAAACATTCTTCTAAGTGGTATAGCACTGGTCTGTCCATTTGCTGTACAGAGGTAACTAATGGCTGCTGTGAAGCTGAACACTGTGACAGTGATGTGTTAAATGCAATAATGGTTACCCATGGTGGACAGTGTTTGGTGGAGCTCCCTGATTAAAACAAGCTTGGAAGCAGGGGTGGCATCCACTTCAAAATGGCTTGCCTCCAGAAACTTTATGAACGTTGACAAACGACCAAAGTTATACAAGTGTTCAGGTCTTTCGTTCATATAGTTACTATGAATCGTCTATGCACTGAACAACAACAATTTTAGTACAAATACAACTGTGAGATCTTTTTGTTCTTCTCATTGTGATTTGGGAAAAAGTTTTTGGAGCCAATTGGTTTTCCATTCAGCAAGTCATGCAAATAGGTTTCATGGCATTGGTTCCAGTCTCCACACTGTAGTGGCGTTCTTCCTGCCTCCTCCCTGTGATTCTTGTTTTCATTCATCCTTCTATCCTATGTCTTCATGCCTTATGAACTTTATCCCTGGACAAATGTTGCCCTTTGGATCGTGTATCGTTGGGGTTGTTCTAAAGGGTGAGTTGTTCTCTTTATGATGCTGTTGTCTACTTTGTGTTGCTGTTGTCATACTGGTAAGACCACACTGGAATGCAGTATAGAATATTGTCACATTACATCACATCCACAATTGTGCTGCCGTTGTTATCTGCTGCCTCTAACTGAATCAGCCCCTAACTCAGAACCCCAGGTATGACAGAGTAGAACTGCTCCATGGGATTTTCTTGACAGTGGCCTTCACAGATGTAGATCTGCTGGCCTTTCTGCTGGGTGAGTTCTGATCACCTAACATTGTGCTTGGTTAACCAGTCACAAACTGTGTGCACCACCCAGGCTGCTTCCATAGGCTCCGAATTCTGACATTTATTTTAGTGAGAGAGTGGGTAAACAGTTCTGTCTATAATGTTAGCTTTAAAATGGATTATCTAAACCTTTTCTTTATGCTGCCTTCTATGAAGATGGTGCCGAAAGCAAAAAAGGAAGTCATTGTCCCTCCCAAAACTGAAGCCAAAGCAAAGGCATTAAAGGCAAAGAAGGCAGTCCTGAAGGGCATCCACAGCCACACAAAGAAGTTCTGCATGTCACCCACCTTCTGGTGGCCTAACATGCTGAGACTCCAAAGGCAGCCCAAATCCCTGCAGAAGAGTGCCCCCAGGAGAAACAAGCTAGACTATTATGCCATCATCACGTTCCCCTGATGACTGAGTCAGCCGTGAAGAAGATAGGAGAGAACAACACACTTGTGTTCATTGTGGATGTCACGGCCAACAAGCACCAAATTAAACAAGCTTTAAAGAAGCTCTAGGACAATGGTGTGGTCAAGGTCAACAACTTGATCAGATCTAATGGAGAGAAGAAGGCTATGTTTAACTTGCTCCTGACTATGATGCTTTGGATGTTGCCAACAAAATTGGGATCATCTAAACTGAGACCAGCTGGCTAATTCTAAATATAAATTTTTCTCACAAAAAGACCACAACCAACCCTTCCCCTCCAAAAAAAACCCTACAAACTTTTCTTTATGCTGTTATCTCTTTAGAGCAAAGCTTCTTGGAAAATGCCTCTATGTGTGCAGGGTGTGTGTGTGCACGCTCATAGAGATATATGTAAACTTACATTTAAACCCCTGTGATCTGTCGGGTGAAAGCTTCAAGAGAGTTCTGTTCCCTTCACATTCTCGTTGCCAGCAGTCTCAGAGAGGGAAGGGTACATAGCACTGACATGAGCCTATGTTCAGATACATCAGACTTTATAAGGTGCAAACCAGCGGCCCACTGATGTGTTTTCTTTGCACCATGTAGTGTCTTACCAAATCCTGAATTTGTTTCCCATCTTTAAAAACCTGCGACTAGTCCCTGAAATCAGAGTTTCTAACTTTTACTAGGAAATGAAAGGTCTCACAATGCTGGGCCCACTTTTCTACATGGCCATAATGATCCTGAACTGACTAGTGAGTGCTTGTTGTCCCCAATTCAAAATCCTTTTCAGTTCATTATGGTCCTCACCCTTTCCTATTGCTCCCAAACAAGAAGGAAGAGTACCAATTGACATTTTCCATCTCCTGTTAGTGGCCAGTCAGATGTCTTTGATTCTTGATGACCTTGTACAATAACAGGACAAGATGTTGCTCACTCCTGTGCCATCTTAGCCTTTTGGTATGTTCAAGTCCATTGTTGCAGCTGCTCTGTCAGCCCAGCTCTTTGAGGGTCTCCTTTGTCTGCTGACCTCCTACTTTATGAAACATGTTGTTCTTCCCAAGTGATTTGTTCCTCCTGATAACATGCCCGAGATAAACGAGTCCAAGTCTTGCCACTCTCTCTTCTAAGGAACATTCTGGTCATGCTGTGTTTGAATACTATTTTATTTCTCCCGCCCCCACCCCCAGGACCAAACAATAACAAGAGAATTAATAAATATGAGTTTCTGACACAGGAAGCAAAGTCAGTACATACATTTTATAACATGGGACCCACTTGTCCAGTGTGAGAAAGTCCCATGCTAGAAGCTTTGCAAGAATCTGCCCTTGATGAACTTACTTGGTTATTAGTTCTGTTTCCTTGTTTTAAGGTTTTTTATCACCATGCATTTTTAATGGCTTGGCCTTTATGTGGGTTTTGTGACTGAACGTTTTTCCCTTTTACTCTGTGTGTCCTGACTTGCGCTCAGCCGAATGCATGTTCTGAGAATCTTTTCCTTTGTTTCTCTCTAGGCTTCCTTCCCTGGGAACCTGCACTTGGTTTTGGTTCTCCGTCCCACCAGCTTTCTTCAGCGAACTTTCACAGACGTTGGATTTCGGTTTAGCCACGAGGATTTCATGCTGAAATTGCCAGTAAGAGTGTATTACTGAAATGTTCTGTCCCTTTAATTCTCATGAAGCCTTTTTGTCATGCTCTTGATATCTTACATGCAATCACCTAAATATTGAAAAAAAATTGTATCATTCCAGAATATAAATTTAAAATGTCTGGAAGTCTTCCCTTCTACTGTAAAAATAGTTACTTCGTTATTAAAAAAAAATAATCCATTTCTAGCCAAGCAATTCATTTAGAAGATTTTATATATATATAAAATATTTTGCACACATGTGTATATATGTATGTGCGTGCATACACATGTGTATATATTCTCCAAGAATCCTAAAATCAGGGATTTTTTTCAGTAAAAATAAGTGTGTTTTATGCATTTCAGCACATGTAAACTTAAGTCCTGAGCTAGTAAGCATGTAATTTTTTTAAAAGAAGTACTTTTATTAAAAAAAGTTAGCATGTTCACTTTTTAAAATAAAGGTATTTTTATGTGTTTGGAGAGGGTATTTGAGCAAAGCCCAGTCCTGTCTGAAAAATGACAGCTCTACACAATGTCCTTCTACTTGGGTGTGAGCACAGCCCACTTTCAAGAGCTTGGCCATTAACAATGCAAACTTTCAGATGAAGGAGAATTCTGCATTACGGTTTCTATGGAGATGAATTTTTCTTAATAGAGCGATGGTTTTGTATATGAAAACTGTTATTATCTGAAGAAGGTCATGCGCACTGCTATGTGGGGAATATCCAGACAAGAACTGCTCCGGCCATTTATGAAAGACTGCTTGCTGCTGAATATATGCTGAAGTGCTTTGTACAGGTGGATGAAGAGGTGCCGAGAAGGGCAGTTAACAGTATCTTTCTTGCTTATTTATATAGGTTGTTATGCTGAGCTCAGTTAGTGATTTGCTGACATACATTGATGCCAAGCAGTTAACCCCTGAGTTAGGCGGCACCTTGCAGTACTGCCACAGTGAATGGATCATCTTCAGAAATGTATGTTGCTTTTGCCCTTCCTCTAGAGCCTATAGTTGATGCTAGCCTTTCAATCTACTTTGAGAATGTTTTTCTCTCTGGGAACAACAGGTTTCTTGGGCTCCTCCTTTTCAAATGCATATATAATTCCACATCTTGATTTTGTTCTTTAGGAAATATCTTGAAAGGATGCTGTCGGTGAGGATGACGTTTGACATTGACGTTAACTTTGAGGTTTAGGAAATCAGATTCGACCAGCCCCTCCTGTGGGGACCATGGATTCCAAGAGATCAGGGTTCAAGTCCTGGCACTGTTGATTTTTCACCATGTGACCTGAAATAAGATATATAACCTTTCCAAGTCTTAATTTGCCCAGCTATTGAATAATGGTGTCTTCCTAGGGCTCTTGCAAAGGACTAAATGAGATGACAACTGTAAAATATTTGGCTGGGGACAACCTCTAAATTGTGGCCCCCCCCCCAATGACATGAAGACGCATTGGTAACTGGGAAGCACCAGTGGACACACTTTCCCTCTCTTGTCCAGCTGCCTCAGTCAGGGGCCTTTCATAGTTCGTGGTACCTTGAAATGCCATTTCATACCTTGTCTGGCACTTCCTTGGGCTTGAGCCCCAGGGCAATTGCCTTCATCCCTCTACCTCCCACATCTCTGGATGTCTGCTGTAGACTTGGAGCTGGTTAATAGAAACTCTTCAGTGGTGCCCCCTTCAGTGGTGACAAGAGCACCCCTCAATAATAGCAAAAACCATTATCAACACAGTCATTGTCGTTGTGTTTCTGAGGCCATTAGATATGGAAGACACAGTCCTCCTATTCTAGCAAGTTCCAAGTAGGTAGTACAAGTATGCTGATTTCAGATTCCATCAGGGGCATGGCAACTCTTTTGAGGAATTAATGATGTTTGTTTATATCAGGGTTCTTTAGAGTAAAGTTATCATAAGACAACTTTCTTTGCCTTATTCCCCATTCAGAACTCCTGTTCTTTCTGTGGCGGTGAAGGGTGCAAAATTAGCAGCACCTGGATTTAATAAAAGAGCCCTGATGGCATCATGGTTAAGAACTTGGCTGCTAACCACAAGGTTGTCAGTTCAAACTCACGCATTGACTCTGTGGGAGAAAGACCTGGGAATCTGCTCCCATAAAGAAACCTAGAAAACCCCATGGGCCAGTTCTACTCTGTCACGTGGGTGGTTGCCATGAGTCGGGATTGACTTGGCAGTGTTTTTTAGGTTTTTGTTAGGTTTCAATAACCTACACAAGTACAAGAAAAAGAACAGATACCTTGAACTGCAGTTGTGTATTTTGCCCTTTTTGTGAGCCATTCATTTTGAAACAAAATAAACCATAGAATTTTGCTTGACATTTTAGGGCAACAGAGATTTTGGGACTAGGTTTTCTAGTCTACAGTACCTCAAACTAGCTGCTAACCTGTGTTCATAGTCCATCACCTTGTATGGAGTGCCAACACTTGCTTATAAATGAATATAAATAAATAGAAAGTGGCTTTGATGTGCTTATCCTCTCTTTAAAGTTGTCATAAGACATTTTCACTAATCACAAATTTCATAGAATAAGGGAAATACTGCGTTTTTCCAGGGCAAAACCCAAATTAATCAGCCATTGGTGTCCAAGAAATAAGTGCAGAATTGTAGATAGAAGATGTTCAGGAAGTCTCTTTGCCTTGCATTAGTTTCTCAGAGGCTTAGATGCCAAGTTAACGTCTATTGTCAAGATCAATGCCGTGCTTCCTTATAAGAGGAGAGCTCATAGCATATGATGTGTTTGCTGTTGTACTCAAGTAAAGTAAGTGCAGTTACTGATTCAGAGATTGCTATGTTGATTAAGTAAGCATAGCGTTAAAACAATCTTTGGCTCTTTTCAGGCTATAGAAAATTTTGCCATCTCAGTTAAGGAAATGGCTCAGATGTTACAGTCCTTTGGGACCGAATTGGCTGAGACAGAGCTACCAGAAAACTTTCCTGAAATAGAAGAAATTTTTGAGGTTCACTCTGAAAGGTACAACCTGTTGAAGGTAAGTCTGACAGAGTGGACAGACAACACTTTGCTAACATTTCCCCTTCTCTTGAGTGTATGCATTTCACACTGGTTGTTCTATAAGGAGACCAAGGATATGTTATCTACTACAAAGCAAACCATAAACAAAACTAGATGACTTTATGAGTAAAAAAAATTATCCTGATTGTGTTGGCTCCTAGTGTACCTTTCATAAATGGGTCCATTCTCTTATCTGTAAAGAGAATCATTTCTAAATGCTCCAGCACGAGAACTGTTTAAAAGGACATATGACAGGTGTCCAGAATGAAGGCTGCACAGTGGAGTGGACTTGGGGGGAGGGATGATTGTATAACAATGAAAGAAGTTTTCTTTTACTTTTCAAAGAGAAGAGCAAATTCAGGGGGAAGGGTGGGCAGGGAGAAAAGTGCAATAATGAATGAATGGAAATTCAAAGTCTCTGTAAACTTTGATGAAAAGGAATTTTTTTAAAAAAATGCCCCAGCACAAGAAACCACAGTCATTGTTGTTACTACATACTCTCTTTTTTTTGAAAACTTTATTTTATTGTGATTTTACAGAAGTTTTCAGAAAAGTTGGATTTTTATTCATTTTTTTAAAAATAAAAACTGTTTATATTGATTTTCTTACAAAGTTCATATACACTGCTTTTCACACTATCCTTCATTCACATTGTGTTTTATACAATCATTCTCCTTAATTATATTTTATAAAATTAATCAACATTGAAATATCTTCATCATTCCTCTATCTTTCCAGATCCCCACAAGATCTTTATGGAAAAGATTCTTTACCCACCTCTCCCTCCACCCATCAAATTGTGCCCATCCTCACCCCTCTGCTCTTACCCTCCCGACCTTGGATCCTCACTCACATTTACGCATTATCTTTCTATTTCTATAATAATGGTCATATACAGTATTTTTCCTTACGGGACTGAGTTAGCTCACTCAGCATACTACTACATATTCTCTTTTGTTGCAATTACTGTACGCTGCTGAGTTGTTTCTTACTCACAATGGCCCACGTGGCATAGTAGAACTGCTCCATAGAGTCTATAAGACTGTAATCCTTACAGAAGTGAATTTCCAGGTCTTTTCTCCTGCAGAGTTGCTGGTAAGTATGAATTGCCAGCTTTAGGTTGATAGACAAGTGTGTAACCATTTGTACCACTGAGGCTCTATCTTATGGAAAAGGCCTCTCATTATTTTTAAATTTTTATTGTGATTTGAGTGGAAGTTTGCAAAGCAAATCTGTTTTCCATTTTAACTATTCATACATGTCTTGTTTTATGATTTTTATAATTACAATATTTATAGTCACCATACTGTTCCCACTTCCTCCCTGTGATACTTGATTCTAGAGATCTTTCTATCATACTTCTTCTTCCCTTCTGAGTTTTATCCTTGGGCAATATGCTGTCATTTTGGTATTCTCGGTATGTGGTTGTTTTAAGGAGTGAGTACCTCCTGATGATATTTATTATTCACCTATGCTGTTGTTATGTGCCATCAAGTCACCTGCGACTCATAGCAACCCTATGTACAACAGCTCTGAGGCCTGCTTTATACTGAGCCAGTCTCACTGACTGACACACCAACCTCCACCGCCCACGTTACTGTACTAATCCGTCTCATATTGGGTCTTCCTCTCCTGCACTGTCCTTTCACCCTGCCGAGCATGATGTCCTTCTCCAAGGACTGGTCCCTCCTGGCCATGTGCCCAACGTAGGTGAGACAGAGCTTCAGAATGCTAGCCTCCAAGGAGAGACTTGGTTTCACCCTCTCCAAGACAGATCTATTTGTTCTCATGGTGGTCCATGGTACACTCAAGACTCTTCTGCAACAACACAACCCAAAGGCATCAATTCCTCTTCTCTCATCCTGAGTCATTGTCCAGCTCTGTGACGTATAGCAAGTAACTGCAAAGACCATGGCCTAGATCAGGCACAAATTCATCTCTAGACTAACATTGTTGATTCTCAGTACTCTGAAGAGATCCCTAATAGCACATTTTCCCAGTGCAAGTAATTGTTTGATTTCCTGACTGCTAGTGAATGTTGATTTGTGGGGCCAAGCCAAGCAAGCTGAAATTGTTCACAACCACAATCTCTTCTCCGTCTATCATGGTGGTATCAACTAGCCCACTGGTGAGAATCTTTGTCTTTTTGATGATGAACCTCAATCCATATTGAAGACGACAGTCCTTGACCTTCTGCAGCAAGCACTTGGGGTTGTGTCATCCATATAAGCAGTTTTTTGATGAGTCTTCCTCCAGTCTTGATGCCACATTCCTCCTCATAAAGCCCAGCCTCCCAGAAGTTCTGTTCTGCATATAGGTTGAAAAGGTATAGAGACAAGATGCATCCCTGACTCACTCCTTTCCTGATTTTGAACCATGCTATGGTTCCTTGCTCTGTTCTGAGGACTGATTCCTAGTCTGAGTATAGGTTTCACATGGTATTTTCATTCTCCTCAAGGTTAGTCCCAATTTGTGTGATCCACACACTCAAATGTCTTTGCATATAGGCTTATTTAATTACTTTGGGTATATTTTCAGGAAGAACCAGTGTTTGGAGAAAGACATCGTGCTGGAAATGGTAGAAAGTGAGAGAGAGGAGGACCCTCAATAGATGATTGACACAATTTCTACTACAATGGGTCCTAACATATCAGAGACTATGAGGATGGGCAGGATAGGGCAAGGTTCAAATATGGTGTTCATTGGGTTGCTGTGAGTCGTAGTTGACTTGATGGCACCTATCAAAAACAACAGCATAGGCTTGTTTATTGTTTGGCTGAAAGTTGAGCCATTGTAGTCAGTTTAGTTTCAGGTATGAAGGGTAACTAAGGGCCATAGTTTTGGGGGTAGAATGGGCTCTACTAGTCTGGATATAGCACCTTTAAGCCTGGACATTTTTATTCTTTTTAAAAATTTCACTCATTCTATCCAGAACTTTCAACTGCGGCCTTTATCATAGCTGGGCACCATCTAGTGCTTCTGATCTCAGGGTTGTGGAGGTTGAAGGGAATCTCATTTTAAAAAGCAAGCATAAGGATTGGGAGGCAGATAGGGGTGCTATTTTGACATCCACCACAATGTGAAATTGGAGGAGAGCTTAATGAAGAACTAGGAGTCCTGAATTTTGTTACCATTTCTGTCACGAGCCTTGTGAGCATGACAAATGTTACAAAACTGTGGCAAACCAAAATTGTTTTTTTTTATGAGTAAAATTTTCATTTTTCTACATAGACCATGGATGGTAAGTTTATTTTGTTTTGTATTTGGAGTGTTGGGTTGTGAAGGATTCAGAGGCAAAATTGAGACCACCAGCTCATAATTTTGTTAACAGTACAATACCAAAGTGAGTTGGACTATCAGAGCTCCCTTCAGTACTTACTTTTGTATTGACTTTCCTCAGAACATTAAAGAACAATCTGAACAGGCACTAGGCATCCATATGTAGTACCTCTCCTTTATAAGATGATAGAATCCTGGGTACACTGACAAAGAAGAGTGTTGAGTATACTGTGGACTGCTAGGAGAACAAGCAGGTTTTTCCTGGAGAGGGTTAAACCAGGCTGCTCCTTGGAGGGAAGGATTCTGAAGCTTCGTCTGATATACTTTGGGTATGTTACAAGGAGGGACCAGTTCTTGGAGAGGGGCGTTATGCTTGGGAGGGTGGAGGGACAGCGCAGGAGAGTAAAACCCTCAACGAGATGGATCGATTCAGTGATTGGGGTAATGGGAGTTGGTGTGTCAGAGACAGTGAGGTTGGCACAGGACAGGGCAGGTTTTAGGGTTCTTGTACATAAGGTCATTATGAGTCGCAAGTGATTTGACAGCACATAACAACAACAACAGCATAGCAGTAACATTTGTATATTAAGAAGATAAGAAGAAGTGACATATTTATCTACAATTTTTAAGTAAAAGTCTTTCCTATCTATGAAATCCTTGTCTCTCACACTCTTTTTGGGCACTTTGCTAACTTACTCTGAGCTTCATTTTCCTTATTTGTCCAGTGAAGTTAGCTCTCTAGATAGCACAAATGATTTGCACTTGACTGCTAACCCAACAGTTGACAGCTGAAACCCATTCATGGCAGTGGCACCACAGAAATACATGCTGGTGACCAGCTTCTGTAAAAGTTACAGCCAAGAAAACCCCATGGAGTATTTCTTCTGTAACAGGTGGACTTACTATGAGCTGGAGTCAACTCCATGGCAATGAGTTTGTTTGAGAGGAAGACCCTGGATGAGATTAATTGATACAGTGACTGTGGCAATGGGGACAGGTGTGTCAGAAACAATGAGATTGGCTCACGTTAGGGCAAGGTTCAGAGCCATTGTTCATTATAAGATCACTGTGAGTCAACCCAACAACACAACAATACAGCAACAACAAATATAGCGTTAAACGAGAACTTGGGTAGGCAGTGACTGTTAACAATGAAAGATGTGTAAAAAGGCATATGGATTTGCATTAAGTATTATTTTTTAATTTTAATTTCATTATTTGTGTGTACCATTAAATCAGATCTGACTGGTACAGGAGGGGATTGTCTCTCCTTCCCCGGCAGAGCATCTGGTGGATTCAAACCATGTGCCTCTGGGATTGCAGTGCAGCTTCTTGCCACTAGGCCACCAGAGCTCCCGGATTTGCATTAAATATTATTTTTAATCACATTCTTTCTAGTGTGGCAGAGTTTATTTTGCAAAGCAAAGAAATGAAATAAAAAATAATTCCTCTTGACATTGAGTTGAGTCTTACTCATGGAGACCCTCCATTTTGTTTCTGAGACTAAATATTAAAGAGAGGAGATACCCCCTCTTTCAGGAGAGAGGCTGGTAGATTCAAACCATCAATCTTTGGCTTAACATCCTGATGCATTTACACACTATGCCACCTGAGTGCCTTCACAGTAACCCTACAACTGCTTTAATTGAGACTCTTATAAATGTTGCCAAATGGGAGCTCTGGTGGCCTAGTGGCAGGAAGCTGCACTGCAATCCCAGAGTTACATGGTTCGAATCCACCAGATGCTGTGCTGGAGAAGGAGGGGCAGTCTCCTCCTGTACCAGTCAGATCCGATTTGATGGTACACACACACACACACACACACACACACACACACACACACACACACATAATAATAAAATAAAAAATAAATGTTGTCAGAATAAACTAAGTTAGAACTTTCGTCAGTAAGAGAAGGCAAGCTACCAAGTGGACCACCATTGGTACCAGTAGGTCTTAGACAGTGATTGCAACATCCCTCTCTACAGTTAGAGTGGCTTCTTGAAGATTTTACAGCTTTTAGACTCTGTTATTCAGGCATTCCTGGATTTTCCCGACAGTTATGACAATAAAGACCATTCTAGAACCTCTGTTCCTAGTCCGTGTATAATAGATGTGTGGTCTTTGTGTTGAGTTCAATGAGGTTGGATTACTCATGCTTGATGCATCCTGTTGTGCATTTGTACAGAGTAATATCACAACTATAACCAAAGAAGGAACCGTTCTGCTAACCAATCTGGAAGCACCTGAAACTTCAGAAGCTGTCAGTAGAAGCATTGAGCCCCATCCGAAAATCTGTGGTGACTGGCAGACTGTTAATAAGTGAGTGGTCCCATTTTAATGCTGAGTTACTTATTAAATATTTCAGAAAAGAAAATCTACACTTAGGTTGCAATAGGTTAAGGGGGGAAGTTTCCTGAACCTCTGGTACCCTGGGCCTTCTTCCTGAATTGTATTTCACAGATGTTATTTTGTTTTTGGAAGAGATTTGTGGGACTTTGATGGGCTCTCTCTGGATCGAGTTTCATGGGTTGTAACTTTGTCTTTAATGCTTATTGGTCAAAGTAGTTTTCTCTATGAACCTATGAAATATAATCCTTGTTTTTTAAGTAGTTCTTTGACTTTTTTCTTAAGATTGCTGAGTCAAGTACATGACATGGAAACAGCCTTTGATGGATTTTGGGAAAAACACCAACAGAAGATGGACCAGCATCTCGAACTATGGAAGTTTGAGCAGGAATTTAAAGATGTACGTGAAAACCTATATCCAGAAACCAAACTAATTTTCATGGATACAAGTCTAATTTATTTAGATTTCCAAGGTTGTAAAACTCTTTAAGAGGCTATTGTTCATTTTTCTCTTCTGGAGCGGCAGAAGAGTTCAAACTGCTGACCTTTTTGTTAACAGCACATTTCACACTACGCCACCAGTACTCCTTAAAACATTGTTAGGTTACACACACACACACACACACACACATATTGTTGTGAGCCATGTAGTTGGAACCAACTCATAGCTGGCCCTCCAGTGGTTTTTTCAGAGGTAGTAAATTGCACAGGAGGAGATTATTCTTCCTTCTTCTGTGGAGCATCTGGTAGATTTGAATTGTGTGCTTTTGGGATTGCAGCGCAGCTTCTTATCACTAGGCTACCATATAGACACATATGTTGTGTACCATCAAGTCCGGTGACTCGATGGCACATAACAATGACAACAACCATCAAATCAGCCCTGACCCACAGCTGACCCTGTGGAGAATTTTCAGTGGCAGTTAATCACACAGGAGGAGATTGCCCATCCTTCTCCTGCGGAGCAGCTGGTGGATTTGAACTATGTGCCTTCAGGATTGCAGTGCAATTTCTTACCCTTAGGCCACCAGAGGCATGTGTGTGTGTATAAATATTTTTTCTAACTCATTTGAGAATATGCTAGCTATCTGATGGGGTTTTCCCCTTAAATCTGTTATTGTGTTTGTTGTGTGTCATCATGTTGGAACCAATTCATAGTTGGCCCTCTAGTAGGTTTTCAGAGGCAGTAAATCAAACAGTCATCTTTCTTCCAAAGAGCAGCTGGTGGATCCAAACCACCTGCCTTTGGGGTGACAGTGAAGCTCCTTACTGCTAAATCATTAGAGCTCCCTCTGCAGGGTACTGAAGAGCAATGGTGTCACTCTGGAGACTAAGGTGCACCTGATATAGGCCATGATCTTTGCAATCACTTGCTATGCATCAGAGAGCTGGACAATGACTAGGGAGGATAGAAGGAGAATTGGTGCTTTTGAGCTGTGGTGCTGGAGAAGAGTATTGACTGTACCATGGACTGCTAGGAAAACAGATTCATTCTGGAGATGGTTAAACCGGGCTGCTCCTTGGAAGCAAGGATTCTGAGGCTTCACCTGACATACCTTGGACATGTTGCAAGGAGGGACCGGTTCTTGGAAAGGGATGTCATGCTTGGGAGGGTGAAGGGATAGCACAGGAGGGGAAGACCCTCTATAAGGTGGATTGATTCAGTGACTGGGGTAATCAGGATAGGTGTATCGGAGACAGTGGGATTAGCACAGGACAGAGCAGGGTTTAGGGCTGTTGTACATAGGGTTGTTATGAGTTGTAAGTGACTCAGTGGCACATAACAACAACAAACAACATATCCATCTTAATAATAGGGTCATTCTCTTCCATAACCACAGTATGGTACTCGAATTCAGTCCATGCATCACTTTCACCTTATCTGCCACTGGTATTCCGGTTTAGTCCGTTGACCCAGTGATGTGCTTCAGAGCATTTCCTTTTGCTCTGGTGCAGGTCTCAGTCAAAGTTTGGTCTGGACAATTTCTATGGCATCTGTCTTTTATGACACTGACATTCTTGAAGAATACAGCCCTTTTTAATAAGCAAACACTCTTCGGTTTGTGTTTGTCTAATGCTTTCTCAGGATTCAGTTTGGACTGTGTGTGACTAGCTAGACTAGGATCTAAGTCATTTGTCCCCCTAAGCACAGCACACCTAGAGGTACTTGTATCTACCTGCCCCTTATTGTTGGTATTGATTTTCATGATCTAGCCATGTGTGACTGAATAGAGTTACTGTTTGTTTTCTCCTTGTAACAAATAGGAAACATGCATGGAGAAAAGTTAAGGTCATGCCAGTATCTTGTTCTTTAACATAATTTCCCAATGATTTTAGCATCAATTAATGATTATTGCCTGAATCAGGCTTTCTTATTGCTCTTTTTTTTGGGCACTATTTCTGACTCAGGGCAGCTCCATGTATAACAGAAACAAACACTGTCCAATCCTGCATCACCATCCCCCACAGTCACTACTCTGCTTGAGCCCGTTGTTGCAGCCATGGTGTCAATCCATCTCATTGAGGGCCGTTCTCTCTTTTTATCAAGCATGATGTCCCAGTCCAAGAACTGGCCCCTTCTGATAATATACTCTAAGTATATGAGGCAATGTCTCACTGTCCTTGCTTCTAAAGCGCTCTCTGACTTTTCTTCTAAGACAGATTTCTTTCTTCTTCCAGCAGTCCATGGTATATTCCATATTCTTTGTCAACACTATAATTCAAAGGCTTCCTTGTTCGTTGTCCAATTTTCCCATATCTGTGAGATGGGTGAGAGTATCATGGTTTGGGTCAGACACATCTTAGTCTTTAAAATGACATCCCACTCTTTAGATTTCCCCATTGCAAATTTGCCATTACGATGAGTATTAAGGATGACTTTCCAACTGCAGCATTCCTTCCACAGTCACCATTGACACTAACTATTCCACTGTAGACAAGCCTTCTCTCCTTTCCAACTGCTGATTATTCTTTTTATTGGAATCATGGATTCCAGTTATTTGAATACCTTATAATTCGTCACTATTCCTGATGATCTTGGTGTTTTACACTGGCAACTGTATCTTTGTAACATATCCCAGTATTTTTTTTTAATCACTTAACTTTGTTTGAAGCATAAATAAATATGTCAAGCTCTGTGTATACCTATCTGCCTCAGCCTTGGAATCAGCTCTTTTTCTGAGGATACTTTGTATCTATTTCTGGGAAAAGGGATCAGGGTCTGGATAATAGGGATGCTTATTTTTCTTGGAGGGTCTTTATTTCTAGACCTGTTTATCATACAGCAGAGAAATTTAGACACACAATTAGCATCCTTGGTAAAAGCAGTCCGGAGATCAGGAGACATACGGTTTTAGGAGTCTACTGTCAGGTACTTCTTTAAAGTCCTGAAGAGCAATGAAATAAATTTGAATACTAAAGTGCTCCTGATTCAAGCCATAGTCTTTCCAGTCACCTGCTTTGCATATGAGAGCTAGCAATGAATAAGGATGACAGAACAACCTATGCATTTGAGCTGTAGTATTGTATAAGAGTATTGGATATCCCATGACTTGCCATAAGAATGAGTGGTATGTACTGGAGAAAAAGCGGCCAAACAGTTTTTTGGAGACAAAGATGGCAAAGCTTTGTCTCACATACTTTAAAGCATGTTGTTAGGAGGGGCTATTCCTTGGTGAGGGACATCATGTTTGGAAAGGTGGAAGGTGAGCAAAAGAGAAGAAGACCCTCAATGAGATGAATTGACACAGAGAACACGGCAGTGGGCTCAAGTGTGTCAGAGATGGTGAAGATGGCACAGGTTAGGATAGGGTTCAAATCTTTTGTTTTATGGGTCATTATGAGTCATACTCACCTTCATGGCACGTAACAACAGCAACATGTACATATGCTCATACATACATACATGCATACAAATATGTGGCCACAACCGCACACACATACACATACAAATGGTATTTTAGAAATCATTAATTCATGCTGATACCTCAACAAACTAAAAAAAAAAAAACCCAAAAAAAAAAACCCACCAACAAACGCAAAACCAAACTCCTTGCTGTTGAGTCAGGACGGACTCGTCACTGACCCTTCAGTGGCTCTTCAGAGACTATAAGTCTTGCAGGAAGACACGGCGTACTTTTGTCTTACAGAGCGGCTGGTGTATTAAAGCTGCTGGCATTTGAGTTAGCAGTTCAACCCCCTCCTCACTAGGTCACCAGGGCTCTCACTCTGGTGTCTAGGAGGTAGAAGTTTATCACATGATGCCTTTTACTGTTTAAAAAGGCTTAAAACTATTTCTATCTGTTCACTTCCCCTCCCCTTCATTTTGATATTTAAAGGAAAATCGATTAGAAATGGAAACCCTCTCATAATTTGTAGGTTTAAAAAGTCTGTTTATTTTCTTTTAGCTCATGGCTAAAATGAAATGGTCATTAAAGAAACTATCAGAGCTGACTGATGCAACAGGGAATATAATTCAAGTGAAACATAAGCTGAAGAAGTTGGACATTGTGGATGAAAGTTCTCAGGTGAGATGATGTTAGGCATTTTCTATATTGATGTCATATTTGGATGAGGGGAAGTAACATAAACTCTTACTGTGATTATTATAGGAACATTTGGTACAATGGTATAAAAGGCATGTGGGTGGCCTGGGGGCCACTGAGTCTGACCTCCACTAATTCCTCTAGAGAAAACAGTGTCTATGCATAGACAACATTCACAGCATAAAACTGATTGCCATGAAGCCAGATGTGCTCCCCAAATCTCCATCTCTCAGCTCTAACACCAAACGCCCCTCCAAAGACTCTTGTTGCTCTACTACTGGGTCTGCTAATCTATGGCATAGGTCACACAGGACTCACAGAACCATTCCTGGGTTTATTAGGGAGGTAAACAGGTCACAATTAAGCTTGGGAATAGGATATAGTTCTTCAGTCAGAATAGCTTCCCAAGTGTTCTTGTGGTCTCTTTGACCTTCTGCCTCACAACTTTAGGTTAATGTTATAAAGCCCTGTTAGTCCTGTCAATTATGGCGTCTTTCCCCCTAGTCCTCCAGCAAGCTTGGCTCTGGCTCTGTGGGGAAGCAGTCCCAGATCAGGTCTCTGATTCTCCATTGCTGTTGCTGCTCTCGTCTTGTCCTGGTCTGATTGGTGCAGGAATCTTTGATCCCGAAGGACACATACGCTGCATTCTTGGCTTCTCCTTTCTTTCTAGCAGTGAGCTGCCCACCTTCCGCTCTGATTTACTAATCCCCTCATCAGTAGTCTATGCATTGTCTTTGATTGTTCCTACCTGGCTGTGTGGTGAAAGTCAGAGCCAATGGATAGGAAAATGATTTTGAAAAATCAATCTCCACAACAAATGGAACAAGAGTATCAGTTTATGTTCTTTTCTGTTCTGTGCAAGCCAGGCATTACATAGCAGATAAATCTTGTAGTTGGAGCAGAGGCCTCTAAGATAGTGATGTGAACTGTCTCAGGTCCACCAATAAGAACGTGAAGCTAATTCATTTTGAGGAAGGTGAAAAAGCCCGAAAACCCAAAAACCCACAAAACGCTCTAGAATGATATTTGGTATTTGGTAATGATCATAAAGAAAATGCTGGCAAACAAAGATCATTCCTCAAATGCCCAGCACATCGTTTGTGTGTTTGAACCAAATATGGCCTCTGAGAGGTAGACCTACTTAGTTTCTCTAGCTGTGAGACCTTGGGTGAATGGATTAAATTGACTAAGCTTTCATTTGCTCATATTTAAATTGGGGATAAAAATGTGGACTGTACAGAGCATCTAAAAGTTCATAAGAGTGTACCTTATGCACTTAACAAAAACCCTCAGAAAGCACGTTGCCAGCAAATTGGAACCAACTTATTGCTGACCCTCCAATGGGTTGTTGGTAGGCTGTACAACACATGGGAGAAAGTTGCCCATCTTTCTCCTGTGGAACAGCTGGTGGATTTGAACTGCCAGAGAGGTGCAAACCATGGATTACATCACCAGAGCTCACCAGCACAGTACCTGGGACATAGGAAATGCTCAAAAGAGGCAGCTGCCAGCGCGCTTGCTATTCTTAAAGCTTGTGTTTAGGGCTTTGATCTTTTATAACTCTGGCTTTGCTTTCCTGGTTTGTATGGAAGAGAGGAGCCAGGCTTTTTTTAAAGTGTATTCTCATCAAATAGGTTTCATTCAAGTCACCAGCATCTAAAGAACAAACATTAAGAGGCCACAGTGGCAGCGACCCGTTTTGGAATTATCCCTGTCGATCTCTGTAATTGTGGGAGAATTTACATATCCCCATCGTATAGTAAAAAGAGATGGCAAACTGGCTTGGACTTTGATTTCAATTCTGATTTTCCCATTAGCTAGCTAGGCTGGTCACATCCACATTGTGAGCTTCATTTTTCATAGTTTTACTCCGATAAGCATTTCCTGAGCTCTTCCTGTGTTTCAGTCACTGTATGGAAAAGCATTCGTTCACAGGGTGGAGGCAAGGCTGTTACGACCCCTTTAGGCTTAGAAACCTTACAGTGTTCACATCTAGTATGTAAAATAGTTGCCTGGTGATTACACTAGCTGAGGTTTCTCAATATGGATCACTTTAGCTTTTGTTTGACACAATGAAAACAGTGAAAGCTTGGTTAAGATGGAAACCTGTCAGAGGTGGAAAACACAACTTTTTCCTGCTACTAGAGAATGATAAGAGTCTATTAGTGATAAGACTTCACCCTGGCAGAGGTGGAAAACTTCTAAGACAGAAAAACAGGGCAATCCCATTGAGTTAATCTCATACCAGTTCCACTGGGTCTGCAATTCAGTTCTAAATTCCTACAAATTCAAGAGGAACAGATCACCCCTCCACCCCATTTTGAGTAGGATGGGTGATTTTCTGTTTCCAGAAAGAGAAGGTCTGGTAGCTTAGTCTGCAGGGACTTGGGCTACTAACACAGAGGTGATGCTTCTCTGGTGGATTGAATCCCCCAGCTGCTCTCTCCCATGCAGTTTATAACCTCCGAAACCCAGCAGTAGCACCAGTTAGGAGTTAGTCCTGAATTGACTGCAAATAATTGAGGCAGGTTAACCAGAAATGTGCGCACTTCAGATGATGTTCCTGTGGTGATTAATTGTATTTTTTTTGCACCTCGTGTAAAGATGACATCAAATCGGAATTGTGACAGTATATCCCCTTGGCTAAATCAATTTGCTTCTTATTTCCCTGCCTCCCCCATCCCCCATATGACTATAGATTGTGCAGCCATTCTTTTCCTTCTCTCTTATACATCAGAATTTGTTGAAAAAGGCCCGCTTTATGGTGTTACATGGACACAAGCTGGCGGCCAGTCACCATTATGCAGTTGATTTAATCTGCCAGAGATGCAATGAACTACGCTATCTTACGGATATTTTGGCAAATGAGATCAAAACCAAACGGATACAGCTCAGCAGGACCTTCAAATTGCATAAACTCCTGCAGCAGGTAATATGATGGGAAATGGCCCATGTCTAGAGAAGGATGGGTGTTCCTTACGCTGAGTTCTCCCAGCCCCGATACACTTTCCTGCCTTCGTCATGGCACCCCTTTCGTCTCTGCAGAAGTTATGGAAGCAGGGTCTGCTATGGCTTTGGAAGAGGCCTGAAGGGCCGAGCTTGATTATGATAACTTAAGCTATCCACCTACTCACATTATATTAATATATTATGAATATTAGTAATTAATAATACCAAAATAATAATAATAATAATTGATTATCAAAATACAAAAGTTGGAAAACAAGGACTGGTAGTTGGAAGATGTGGCTCTGGCAACAAAAATGAGACTAGATATTAAAAACATTTTATATACAATCAATAACAATAATAATATAAAAATGATAAAATAATAATAATTTATTGCTAATACTTTTTTTAAAATGCCAGCTATACAGATGAACCCTGATGGACATCACATGACTAAGACTGATTATATCTGTGGGAAGAGACAGTGAAGAAGCTATCAGTGTCAGAAGTCAAAACAGGGCCAGGGGCTGACTGTGGAATAGACCATCAATTCCTCGTATGTAAGATCAAACTGAAGCTGAAGAAAGTGAAAACTGGTGTCAACATATAGCCTTGAGTTTATCCCACCTAAACTGAGAAACTATCTCAAAAGTAGATTTGGTGCATTGAACACTAATGAACAAAGACAAGAAAAGATCTGAGAAGACATCAAGGACATGATTCATTGAAGAAAGCAAGAGGACATTAAAAAGACAGGAAACAAAAGACCAAATGGATGTTGTTGAGGCTTTGAAACTTACTTTTAAATGGAGAGAAGCTTTTAAAAAAGGAAGAAATTACATAATGGAGCTGAACAGATTTCAAAAGGAACCTTGAGAACACAAAGGAAAGTATTATAACAAGATGTGCAAAGACCTAGAGTTAAAAAACCAAATGGGAAGAACATGCTCAACATTTGAAAGGACTGAAGGACAAATTCTGGCCTCGAGATGCAATAGTGATGGATTCTGTGGGTAAATGATGAATTATGTGTGAAGTATCCTAAGAAAATAGGTCACTTCTGTGTATCATTATGAGTAGCCAGGAAGTCAAAAGATGAATTGCAATGGGAAAATCTGCTGTCAGGGACCTCTCTAGAACACTTAAGAGCAGTGATGTCAGTGAGACTAAGTTGTGTCTGATCCAAGCCCTGGTCTTCACAATTACTTGTTATGCATCAGAGAACTGGACAATGACTAAGGATGACAGAAAAATAATTGATGCCTTTGAGTTGTGGTGTTGGAGAAGAGTATTGAATACACAATTGACTGCTAAGAGAATAAAGAGGTCTGTCCCAGAGAAGATGAAACCAGGCTGCTCCTTGGAGGTAAGGATTGTGAAGCTCTGTCTGATATACTTTGAGCATGTTGCAAGGAGGGAAATCATTCTTGGAAGAGTGGAGAGACAGCACAAGAGAGGAAGACCCTGGATGAGATGGCTTGACTCAGTGGCTGGGTTATTGTTGGGGGTGGGGGGGATTAAGTTTGTCAGAGACGATGAAGTTGGCCCAAGATAGAGGTTCAGGTACATAAGGTCACTATGAGTCACAATTGACTTGATGGCACATAAAAACAACAACAACAACAATAACAACTATACCAAAAAGAATTGGTTGAGACGGTACCATTTCAGGAAGTAACAATTGATCAAAACCCAATGGTGCTAAACAAACAAAAATACTCACCATTGGACCAATAAGCAACATAAGGATAAATAGAGAAAAGGTTGGAGTTGTCAATGAATTGATTTTATTTGAACTCACAGTCAACACCCATGGTAGCAGCAGTGAAGAAATTTTTTTAAAAAAGTGCTGTTTTGGTAAAAATCTGCTCTCAAGGATCTCTTAAAAGTGTCAAAGAGCAAGGCTATCAGTTTAAAGACTAAGGTATGTCTTGATCCAATTCATGGTATTTTCAGTTCTGTCATACAAACAATTTAAAATTGGGCATTGCTGAGGATTACTGCAGAATTGATGCCTTTGAATTGTAATGCTGCCAAAGAGTACTGAATCGCCCACGGACTGCCAAAAGCACAAGTCTGTCTTGAAGGAAGTGCAACCAGAGTGCTCATGAGAGGCAAGGCTGGTGAAATTTCATCTCACTTCGGGCATGCTGTCAGGAGGACCCAGTCCTTGGAGAGAGCCATCATGCTGGGAAAGGTAGAAGATCAAAGAAAGAGATGAAGACCCTCGGGGAGATGGATTGATGCCCTGACCACAACAATGGACTTGAGCATGACCATTGGTGAGGATGACGTGGGACAGGGCAAGGTTTTCATCTGTTATTCACAGGGTTGCTATGAGTTAGAGCAGACTTCTCAGCACCTACCAGCCACCACCACCTCCATACCTTGTTTTACTGCGTCACATTTGTATTGCATTTTTTTACAAATGGAAAGTTTGCAGCAACCATGCTTCAAGCAAGTCTACCAGCACTACCCCCTAACAGGGTTCATTTATTCATATCTTTGTGTCTCGTATCACACTCTTTAATAATCCTGTTGCACATCTAAGAGACCACACAGTAATGTGTATGCCACCTTTCTATGCACTAGGAAAGCAAAACATTCTCGTGATGAGCTCTTCTGAGACATTTGCTTTGCTGTGGTGGTCTGGAACTGCATGGGCACTATCTCCCTTGGGGGCCTGTGTTCTGCATGGCTGGCCCTGCACTGTAACGATTGGAACTTCTATTCCGACTATGGAAGTGAGATGATATTTAGGGGGCATTGCTGACGATTGAATGCAGGCATTACACTTTACAAAGTTTCAGTAAGGCCTGAAACTCCTTTCCCATTTCGTAGTTGAGCACTAAACATTTCCATCACAACTAGAAAACAGTCCTCCCCAGCTTTGTGAGCCCAGCCTGTGTTTTCATAAGTAGATGGTAAATAGAAATGTTACCTGCAAATAGTGGTCCTGGTGGTCGAGTGGAACAGTATCAGATGTACGTGTCATATCTTAACATAAACATTGTCGCCTCTGCATCTCCTTCTCCATCAAGAAAATATTATTCTTGTTCTCAGCAATCATTAAACACCCCTCTTAAGCTTTTTACTGAGCTAGGCATTTCATATGGCATTTAATAGATTTCAGGAAACCCTTTGCAACTCAGGTGTTGGTATCAAGTGGGCGGTAGAGTCCTGGCGCAGAGGGAGGTATTTGATAGGAAATGATTGCGGTGGTTGCCAGCCTTGGCCATGCACCAGGAAGACCTGAGGAGAGCTGCAAAATCACAAATGCCCATCTTCCACCTTGGCACGACTGCATCAGAATTTGGGGAGGAGGGTGGCAGACCCTAGGTATCTTCGTATTTTAAAAGCCCCGGAAGGGATTCTGATAACAGAAACCAGGGTTGGTGGCCACTGTTTGGGGCGGGAGTTCTGCGTCCTCTTTATTCATCTGTCTGTGTGCCAGTGGGGTTGTTTTGGTTTTTTTTCTCCTCCTCCTTTGCTTCTCTCCAGGCTTGGCAGTGCTGTGATGAAGGGGAATATCTTCTAATTAATCAGCAAGATGATAAATTTCAATCCAAAGAAGATGCTCAAAAAACTCTCCAAGACATTGAGAATTTTCTTCAAGTGGCTCTGCCCTTTATAAATTATGATATTGAAACCCTTCAGTATGAATTTGATGTCGTTTTATCTCCTGAGCTCAAGGTAGGAGAAGTTTTAAAAAGAAGCAAATGAAATCAGATTGTCATTGCAGTGGTATGGATAGGAGTCATATTACTTCACAGCTAACTTTAAGTGTAATTACCTAGGGGGTTGGTTTGTGGTTTTGGGTTTTTTTTGTTTTTTTTTAACAACTCTGGTTTCCTTAGCAGTGCCCTGAGTAAGGCATTTGGCTACTAACTGAAAGCTTGGTGGTTTGAACCCACCAGCTGCTCCTTGGCAGTCTGCTGCCATAGTGATTACAGCCTTGGCAATCCTGTGAAGCAGTTCGTTTGACTCTACCCTACATGGTCGCTCTGGGCCTGAATTAGTAGGCTTTTTAAGGGTGATGGGTGAATGTTGTCATTATTTAAGCAGCTAAGACGCCAAAGATTCATGTTTGCTATGAAAAGAAGGGCCATTTCCTTTTTCAGTTCTACGGCCCTTGTTACTAAACTGTTTTCATATACCTAGAGCTCTCATATGAGGTGTTTGGTTTTGGGGGGTTTTCTTGGTGCCCAAAGTGGTCCTAGGTGAATGCTGGCCCCATATCAAGGCCACTGTGGCCAAACAACTCGCCTTTATGCTGCAGTGGCCACTCACACTTGCTGAGCACAAACCTGACTCTCACTCTGAGAGTAAAACTCGACTGAATTTTAAGACTGAAAAAAGAGTCTCAGTGCTTGTTCCTGCATCCTGCAAGACACTTCAGCAAATCTGACGCACTGTTATGGGCAATGACCAAGCCATTGTCTGGGTTAAGCAACTAAGCTTAACCCTAGTGCTTTACAGCATCCCAGAGACCCGAATGGGTAGATCACCCATTGGCTGCTCCAAAGAGCCTATTGCTCCATGGGAACGATACAGAAGGTGTCTTCCAAACTCAATTTACTAGGATGGTGTGGTTTATTTTATTGTTTTTAGAACTTGGTGGCTTTGTCATGCCGAATATGAAAAGAGTGATCCTCCGAGTCCAGGAAGTGTAAATCACTTTATTCAGGGGCCACTCTCAACTCATGGCATCGTTCTGCCCCCGTTTGTTTTGGTTGAAATCTTTACCCCTGGTTTTAACTTTGTGTGAAGAGAATTCATTCATCTGTTTTACTTCACTCTTAAAATCTTGGTTATATCTGAAACTCTAGACTAATTGGCCAGTCGGCGAAACAGAATCAGATTCAAAATAACGCCGTTCCTGAAGATGTTTCCTTGCCTTCTCATCTTATTTGCAGAATCAAATGCAGACTGTCCAACTGAAGCTGGAAACCATCCGAACTGTCTTTGAGAACCAGCAGGCTGTCCTCAGGAGTGTGAAGGAGAAGCATGCGAATCCATTCCAGTTAGTGGTAGCTGGGACGGAGCAGCTGATGAGAACATTTTCACCTAGATATGGTAAAACATCTGACACTCATCTTCTCCATCTCTTCCTTTCCTGTAATTGTTCACTTAGTTTCTGGACACACACACACACACTCATACATATCTTACAATTATGAACTGGCATAAATGATTACGATCAACTAGGAAGATACTTAAAAGATAGTCAAAATAACAACAACAGCAGCAGCAATAAATAGTTATTAATAATCAAATTTTGATGATCATAAGCTGGAGAAGAGCAAGGATATGGGGGTCAGACATACTTCAAATTTAGGTTTCTGGTCCCATCTGCTAATTGTATTACTTTGTGTAATTCACTTAACCTTTATGAGAATCATTTTCCTAGTCCATAAACTGAGAGTGATAATATCTACTTACTTAAAAGTGTTACCTATGAAGAAAACAGGAAAAGATTCTAGACTATAAAGACATACTCAGAAAGTAGAATTGTCTCTTGTCCTCTGAGCTAAGACTTCTTGCTCTAAAGAGCTCAACTATTCTAAATGGGGTTTCCTAAAGTGGCAAAACTTGGGTTAAGGATCGGCGTTTTAAGGACATTTTCTAAGACCCATTCAAATAATTAGTTATGGAAAGTACTTTTTGGTTTGTTTCATCTCATTTTTTTCATTCTGGTTTTATTTAATTGCATTACATTTTCTTTCAGCATTGGGAATTGGACACTCTTTCTTTCAAGCATGTAAACTTTTTTTAAAAGGTACTTTTATCTTTATTCTTTTCCGTCAGTGCATTTTCTGAGTCTGTGTACATGTGAGAAACCAGTTTGACATCGAAGACTAGAAGCAGTTCGTTCTTGCATTTTGTCTGCAAGGAATTTATTCTTTTTTTTCCCCTAATGCCCTGCTATTCTTTCCTCAGTAGTGAACTCACCTTAGAAATGATTATATATATATATGAAAAGGAGTCTATGCTTTGAAGTCCAGCTACTTTTCCCCAAATGATCACGTGTCAACCTCGTCCAAAATGATCATGTGGGGGAAAAAATGGAGAAAAACTGGCATTGTATAAAGGAAGACAACTTGCTTTTACTTTTGTGATTTCTTTTTCAACCATATTAAAACTATCTGTGGGAGGTATCTTGGATTTGCTTCTTTCTGAAACTGCTGAGTGTGTTTCTGAGGAAGAAGGCAGCTTCTTGAAAAAAAAAAATGGTATGGATGAGCGATTGTTTTATCCATCATAATCTGTGGATTAAAAGCATTATTTATGCTGCAAATTTCATTCATTTGACCTCATTGCTCCTTGAGGATTATTACATGACAACCAATGGAAAAAAAATCTGTAAGACCTTTTTTTTTTAGTTAGTAAGGAGCATCTATAACATTTGGCCAAATCAAACTAAAAAGTGTTAATTTTCTATAAAATGAGTCAAACTGGTTTTTTAGATTTTACTTTGCTTGTTTGTGTTCCTTTGCATCAAATTCTATACCTAGTGCCGTGCTTGGCTTCTTGTAAGAGGTAGTAAATATTTGTTTGCTTAGTATTGCCTATAGAATGTAATTATGGAAGGGCACTGCCAATGAAATGTAAAATGCTTTGGCCTCCAGTAATTCTCCCTGTAACCTAATTCTTGCTGCTAAGCTTCAGACATGTGGTTACTACTTGCCAGCTTGAATTTCCCATGAGCAAGTATGCTCCAGTTGAACTCACCTCTGCAGCTCTTCTCTCCCAGTGTTGCTCATCTCAGTGAATGTCACCACCATTGTCCCAGTCGTCCAAATCTGGGAACTTGAGTTCTCCTTTCCCTCATACTCCCCCTCTAAATAGAAAAAAACCCCCTCTGGTTTCACCTTGAGCTAGAATGGACTCAATAGCAACTGGGACTGGTTACTCTCTCAGACCTATCCCCTTCTTGCTATCCTCGCTGCCACTTCTTTAAGCTAATGCCATCTGTTACCTTAACAACTGCTGCAGTCTTCCTAGCTTCCACTGTGCCCTCTTCAAGTTCCTCTAGCGTCTTACCTTACAGGCTTGGGCATCACACATACTGTTGTCTCTCTCGAGCTTAGTTCCCTTCATCCTGCTATTCCCCCTTGCTAGTTTCTACTCCTCCATCAGACATCCTATCTTTTGGCCATTTTATCCCCCCAAGTAAGCTTTTTATCCCTAATTCTGCCCCTTCCCCACCCACATAAGAGGTATATACATACAGCTTTGGAGAAACTTTCCCCCGCCCCCTGAAAAGCAGGGTATATGTTTGCTCATTAATCCAACAATGCATTTACATAGAAAGTGAATGAATGAGTGCCTATAGTGAATGCCAAGCTGTGGGTTAGATGCTGGGAATTAAAAGTTGAGGGCACAGTCCCTGGCCTCACAGCACTTAAAGACTAGTAGGAATAACAGATAAAGATCTCCTAATAGAATTGCAACACAAACTGAGAGCGGCAAGGAGGACCTCAGCACTCACTTCTGAAATAATGGGTTCTTGGAAACCCGATAAATAGCATAAGAGTGTGGTCTGATACAGTGCCCGAGGGCACGACTGGGGAAGAGCTGCCTCCTCTAAGTGTAGTCTACACCAATGATGCAGGTGGAGTAAAGTTCTCGCCCAGTAAAGAACCTTTAGGTGCTAAAGTGGCACAATTGGAAAGGAATGAAAACAGTTAAATAGTAATCAATACTTGGAATGTGAAACATATCAAATATAAATCTAGGTAAACTGGAAATTGTTAAAAAAAGGAATACATTGAGATTGATATCCTAGGTGGCTGAAATGGACCAGTATTGACCATTTTGAATTAGTCATCTGGTCTAATATGATGAAAGTTACACAAATATTCAGATCTTTTGTTTATAGGGTCACTATGAGTCATCTATGACTCGATGGCACTTAACAACAACAACAACAACATGGTCTAATATATTAGGAATGATAAGCTGAAGAGGAATATTGTTGTTTGCTGTTGTTATGTGCCAACAAGTCATCTATGACTCATAACGACTCTATGAACAAGAGCTCTCCACTCTGCCCTATCCTGAGCCAAGGTTAAAGTCTCTGATACACCTGCCCCCACTACCATGGTCACTGTGTCAATCCATCTCATCCAGAGTCTTCCTCTCATGTGTTGTCCCTCTACTATTCTAAGCATAATGTCCTTCTCTAAGGACTGGCCATGCTGGCAACATGCCCAAAGTATGTGAGATGGTGCTTCAGAATCCAGTCTTTGCCTCCAAGAAGCAACCTGGTTTCATCCTCTCCAGGACAGACTTGTTTCACTTTCTCCAAGACAGATTTATTTGTTCTCTTAGCAATTCATGGTATGTTCAAGACTCTTCTCCAGCACCAAAACTCAAAGGCATCAATTCTTCTTCTGTCATCCTTAGTCGTTCTCTAGCTCTCTGATGCATAGCAAGTAATTGTGAAGACTGTGGCCTGGATCAGACACACCTTTGTCTCTAGACTGACATCATTACTCTTCAGCACTCTGGAGAGGTCCCTGACAGCAGATTTTTCTAATGCAACTTGCCTTTTGATTTCCTTACTGCTCATGCCAAGAGTGTTGATCCAAGCAAGTTGAAATTTTTAACAATCTCAATTTCTTCTCCATCCTTCAAAAAGAATATTTACAATAAAGAGCATTGTCAGTGAAAGGATAATAGCTGAACATGAAATTTCAAAGCATACTGAGAAGGATGAGAATTCCAGAACATTAAGTTATGTTCATATGAAACCTACACTTAGACCAAGGGCTGTTAAAATCAGGAAAGGTTTGCATCGCAGCTGTATCCTTTCTCCATACCTATTCATTCTGTATGGTGAGAAAACAATTTAAAAAGCTGGACTCTATGAAGAAGAATGTGGCATCAGGATTGGAGGAAGACTCATGAACATGTGTTATACAGATGACACAACATTGCTTGCTGAAACTGAGGAAGATTTGAAGCAGATGGAATAGACAAAAATAAAATAAACCACATCCATGGAAATGGAGAAGTTCAATATCATCAGTCAGAACAGAGCTGAAGGTCAACTTTAGAAGAGAATATAAGTTGCTTGTATATAAGTTCATGTTGAAGCTGAAACAAATAAGAACCACGGTATCCCACCTGACTTCAGATATCATCCTAAGAGCAGATTTGACACTTTGAACCCTAATGACAGGCCAGCTTGTGGAATGACATCAAGGATTAAACATGAAGAAGCCAAAAATGTATTAAAAAGAGAAGAAATAATGAAAAGACAAAAATGAATGTCAGAAGAAACTTTAAAGTTCTTTTTAAAAAAACATTTATTTCCCACTGCCTTAGAGTCAATTCTGATTCATAATGACCATGATGTTGTTGGATGCCATTGCCTTGGAACCAACCCATAACTGATCCTCCAGCAGGTTTTCAGAGGCAGTACATCACACAGAAGGAGATTACTCATCCTTCTCCCTTGGAGTAGCTGGTGGATTTGAACTGCATGCCTTTGGGTTTGCAGCTCAGATTTTTACCACTAGGCCACCAGAGCTCCCTAAGGTTTGTTTTTAAATACCAAATAGCTAAAACTAATAGAAGAAGCGATGACATAAAAGATCCAAAGATGAGATTTTAAAGCACTTCAGAAGACTGTTTTTTTACAATGAAATGTGCAGTGACCTAGATTTAGAAAACAAGAGCTCAACATTTCTAGAGCTGAAAGAATTGACAAAATGTTCAAGCCTCTTGTTGTTGTGTACTGTAGAATCAGAACTGATCCATAGCTGACCCTTCAATGTGTTTTCAGAAACAATTACACAGGAGGAGATTGCCTATCTTTCTCCCATGCATCAGCTGGTGGCCTCAAACCATGTGCCTTCAGGATTGCAGTGCAGTTTCTTGTCACTAGGCCACCAGAAGCAATACGGAAAGATTCTATTGACAAAATATTAAATGATACAGGAAGCATCAAAAGATGTTTAATGGTTAATGCTGTTGTTGTTATGTGCCGTTGAGTTAGAACTGACCCTCAAGTGAGTTTTAAGGGGCTGTAAATAGCATGTGAGGAGATTTCCCATCCTTTTCCTATGGAGCAGCTGGTGGATTTGAACTGTGTGCTTTTGGGATTGCAATACAGGTGCTTACCACTATGCCACCAGCGCTACCTCTTACAGATTTAGGAGATGGTGGCATCCACTTCCTAAACAGCATGCCTCTGGAAACTCTGTGAACTTTGATAAATGGCAATGGTTGGGGAAAGACTTCAGGCCTTTTGTTCATGAGGTCACTATGTGTCGTGCTCGACTTGACAGCATCAACAACAACAATAATATATCAAGAATACATGAAGAAGTCCAATCTGTGCTGAAGGCATTGGTGAAAAACAATACTTCCAAAATTGATCTAATACCAACTGAGGTATTTGAACAAATGGATGCAGTACTGGACATGCTTGTTCATTTATACGAGGAAATTTGGAAGACAGCTACCTGGCCAACTAACTGGAAGAGCTCCACATTTATTCCTATTCTAAAAAAGAAGATTCCGCAGGATGCAGAAATTTTCAAGCAATATCATTACTACCATGTGTAAAATCTTACAGAAGATTATTAAAGAGTGCATCATCATGGAAGAGTGCATCAAGAGGGAACTTTAGAAATATAAGCTAGATTCAGAAGAGCCTGTGTTTTGAAGGATATCATTATTGATATCAGATGGATTTTGGCTGAAAGCAGAGGTAAGAAGCTATGCTGCAATCCCAGAGGCACTCCGTTCAAATCCACCAGCTGCCCCACATGAGAAGGATGGACAGTCTCCTGAATCTAAAACCCACTGGAGGGTCAGCTATTAGTTGGTTTTGACTTGATGGCAAACAACAACAAACCAGAATGATCTTTACTTGTGTTTTATAGACTGTGCAGTCATTTGACTGTGTGGATCACAACAAATGATGAACAACAGTGAATAGAATGGTTATTTCGGAACATTTAATTGTGCTCATTAGCAGCCCGTACATAGACCAAGAAGAAGTTGTTCCATCAGAACAATGGGAACATGGTTTAACATAAAGAAAAGTATGTACCAGTGTTGTATCCACTCATGATACTTAGTTTGCATTCTGAGCAAATAATCCAAGAAGGTGGACTACCTGAAGGAGCCTGCAGGATCAGATTTGGGATAAAATGCATTAACAGCTTATAATATGCAGATGAGATGATTTTGCTCTCTGAAAGCAAAGTGGACTTGGAGTTCTTACAGATGAAGAGGAAAGATTAGAGCCTTCTGTCTACATTGTACCTCAACTTAACAGAAAGTAAAGTTCCTCATAACTCAAGCAGTAAACAGCATCATGGTAAATGGAGAAAAGATTGAGGTTGTCAAGGATTTTATTTTACTTGGATCCACAATCAACACCCATGGAAGCAAAAATCAAATGATGTTTCCATAGACCTCTTAAAGTACAAGGGTATTTTAAAAGACTCAGGTGTACTTAACCCAAGCCATGGTATTGTTTCTTATGTGTATGTGTCAGTTGCACAAGGAATAAGGGTAGCTGAAGAAGAATCGGTGCCTTTAAATTTTAAGGTTGATGAAGAACAGCTGTCTTGGAAGAAGTAAGATTGGAATGCTCCATAGAAATGAGGAGGCCAAGACTTTGCCTCACATACTTTGGCCTTGTTATCAAGAGAAACCAGTCCCTGGGGAAGGACATCATGCTTAGTAAAGTAGAGAGTCAGTCTTGCAGTTAGCAGCTTACTCTTATATGTAGTAAGTGCCCAATAAATGTTAGATACCATAATTACCTGTACCTTTTAACAAACTCATTTTAATTCACGTTTCTGTTTCCCAGTGCTGCTATTACAGAAATACCACAAATGGGCGACTTTAAAGGAGGGAAATGAATTTCCTCTCTGTTGAGGAGGGCAAAAGTCTGAATTCAGAGTGCCAGAGATAGAGGAAGGCTCTATAGCTACCAGGGGGAAGTCTTTTCCTCTTTCCAGCTTCATTTCCTTAGCCCCTTGGTGAACTTTATGTGGTATAGTCTCTTGTCTTCCCCCATCTGTGCTTCCTGCTTCTGTGCCTAGTCTGCTTTTTTTTTTTTGAGGGGGGGGGAGTTTAGAACCAAATTTTATTTTATTCAAGAGGAAAGCGCTTTTTCTGACAATCTTAATGTTATTTGTGGTTCAAATAAATGATTCCTTTAAGCGGTTTGGAGACCCTGCATGGAAGTCCCTGTTGGCGTTAGGTGCCATCGAGTACCACCTATAGCCACCATCCCTAGTCTGTCCTATCCTGTGCTTTTCTAAATGTTGCAAAAACAATTGAGTTTGAGACTCTACACAGATAGCACCTCAATAACATAAGAAAGAAAACGTTATTCGCAAACGAGATGTAACTCATTGGGATAGAGGTTAAGATTCCAACACATATATGGAGTGGGTCAAAGGGAACATGATTCAGCCACAGTCCAGCTAATTTGATGAAGTGCTTATGTATCAGAATGAATGCATAAGCAAACATGGTAATTACTGACACCTAGCTCCAGTCAACAAGCCAGGGAATGCTCGGGGAATGAATGCATAGTAAAATCAGGCCCCAAAGAAATAGTTGCTAAATCTCACCAATCCCTGTTCACCATAGTGTATTGGAAAAAGACTGGCATCAACAGGTTGGAATATTAGCATCTCTTTGTTTGCAGTAAACGTCAGCACACTGACTTTAATTCTTGTTTGACTTTTCCTCACATGGTGCTCCCAGGGAAGAAGACTTGGCAATCAAATCTGAGCAACGTAAAAGTGAGTATCACTAATTCCAAGTAGGCCTTGTTGCCCCTGTTGTAGCACCAACATGAGGATATTCTTTCCTTACTAGATCAATTCTGTGATTTAAAAGCCCAGTTTTGGAAGGAGAGGGTTGCTGCAGCATTGTCTCAATGCAGTGCCGGCGTGGACCTAGGGGCCTGGCTCAAGTCCTAACTATGGTTCAGCTTTGTTTCTGCACAATGGCTCATATAGTTCCAAAGTCTCCTTTGTTCCTCGCTCCCTCAGCGCACCTAAACTAAGTGTTGCACTTGGCCACCAAAGATTTCTTTCTCAAGTGCTTACAGCCCTGGGAACTGGATGCATGGACAAAAGACAGATTTCCATGGGCCATGCAGAAACTAGCTCTGGGTTTGGAAAACCAGTCATCCATTTCATGATTGCCTACACGATTCTTCCTTCTCAGTTACCAGCACTACTCTGGGATCTGCAGAGAGAACTCTGCATTTACTTTCGCCCCTCTGCACTTTCTTTCAGTGTGTTCTTGATGGCTGATGATGAGGACAAGAACACAACCCCCGAAGATAGCATAGCACAGTAGTGCAGATATTAAAGCTTTTATTTCCAACCCATTCCTTTGTGGTTGCATTTACCATGGGAAAGGTCTCTGGACCTCATTTTCTGTGTCAACAAAATAGGGATATTAATAGAACACTGTCACCATAGGATTAGTATAAAGATTGAAGAGCTCTGGTGGCCTAGTGGGTAGGAAGTTACACTACCAACTGAAAGGCAGATGGTTTGAGCCACCAGCTATTTTGCTGGAGAAGCATGGCCTATCTCCTCCTGTATGATTTATTACTTCTAAAAACCCACTGGAGGGTCAGCCATAATTTGATTACGACTTGATGGCACTTAAACAACGATAATATTTGAGGAATACTTTGAACAATGTGTGACTTAGAGAAATCTTCTGTTTTTTATAAATGTTTTTTGTGGTTAGTTGCCAATGAGTTGGTTCTGACTACTGGTAACCTCATATAAATCAGAAGAAAATATTGTCTGCTCCTCCACGAGTCCATTGCGTATTTTGGGTGTTGGCCAACTTGCTGGGATATCTTTCAGAATTATACCAGACAGTCTTCTGTTATGGTCTATAGAGTTTTCACTGGCTAATTTTTCAAAGTAGATTGCCAGACCTTTCTTCCTGGTTTGTCTCTGGAAGCTTGCTGGCGCCTGTCAACCATGGTTAACCCTGCTAGCACTTAAAATACTTGTGGCACAGCTTCCAGCATCACAGCATCACAGCAACACATAGATCAGCACAGTCTGACAGATAGTGGGGGGGGGCTGCAGAGTTAGAACTCAGAGAAAATGTAATTGGGTATTGATAGATTTCCTTAAGAGACTTATAGATGCTACTTTACCTCATCTTTTCTTCATTTCAGATTGAAGTGATACATGATTTTCCGGAGGAGCAAAGTTCCAGCCAATCCTCAGTTTTGACCAAAGAAAATACGTTGGCGATTTTAAAGAAGTATCTTCTGTCTATTAACATATACTCATAAACACATAGACCCATAGTACTTCTATCCATTCTTTGGTGTTGGACACTTGGGTTGCTTCCATCTCTTTGCTACTGTGAATAATGCAGCAAGAAACATGGGTGTGCATCTGCTTGAGTAGAAGCTCTGGTTTCTTTAGGGTATATTCCTAGTAGTGAAATTGCTGGGTTAAATGGAAATTTCTATTTCCAGCTTTCTGAGAAAGCACCATACCACTTTCCATAATGGTTGTGCCATTTTACATTCCCACCAGCAGTGAATAAGAGTTCCTATTTCTCCACAACCTCACCAGAATTCATATTTTTGACCTTAGATAATTTATAATTGAGAGTTGGCAATGCTTTCAATTATAACATTCCAACATATAGCAATAGAATAGTGGAGAAATACTATTTTTCTTTTTATCTCAGCCACGTCCTAAATGAGCTGATACAGACTGAGAAGATATATGTCCGAGAGCTGTTTACTGTTTTGTTGGTAAGTGATTCAAATTGCATTTTTCTATCATTTCCTGAATGGTCCGTTATATACCTTAGAAGGACTTTGGGGCAATCTTCTGTTTCTGACTGCTTCCATGGTTGTCACATCTAAGCAATGGGCATTTCTTTTGCTGTTGATTGACACAGCATGCTGGCTAATGGTATGTGTTCACTATCCTTTTATACTGAGAATTATTGCTTCAGAATTTATTACTGAATTGAGAAGTTATTTGCTTTGGGATACAACAGTGTAGTATAATTATTCCCAGGGTGCCACTTAAAGATTTCTATATAAATAACTGCAAATAGGATAAAGAGATTCCATTGCCACAAATGTCAGGATATTGACATGCTTTGAAAAAGCCTAAACATGCATTGCCAGCCCGAGGAGAAGTTGATGGCCTATGGTATAATTTTTCACACTTGATCTCTATTTTGTTTCCTACACTACAAGCTACAATGAAGGCCAAAGAGCTGTCACTTTATTTTGCTGAGTGAGTGGGAAACCTTGACTATTTGTCCTACCTTCTAAGAAAAAAAAATATATATAGATTCCTGTGGAAATTAGGATATTTCAATGTTAAAATGACAAAAGGCTTCAGCCCCTCAAAGCCCCTATACAGTTTGTTTTACCTCCGGTTTGATGGATACCTCAGATGTAAGTGGTATAAAAGCAAATCAATGCATTTCTTTTGTGTAGGGTTATAGAGCACAGATGGATAATCCAGAGATGATGGATATTATACCACCTCTCCTGAGAAGTAAAAAGGATGTTCTCTTTGGAAATATGCCAGAGATCTATGAGTTCCATAATAAGTATGTACTTTGCTGAATTGACTGGGTTTTTTGTGTGTGTGACATTATTTGGTAAGTTTGATCAGTTTGTTGTATTGCACATATAATAATGACAACTTCCTTTCTCTGAAATTTTAACAGCATTTTCATGCACAGATTGGAAAATTGCTTCCATTATCCAGAACTAGTGGGACAGTGTTTCCTGGAAAGGGTGAGTAAAATTGAAAAATAAAAAATACATGAATGATGTGGAATATAAAAATAATAGTTCATTAAAAAGAAATAGAGAGGAGATAGGTTTTAATTTCCTGTCTGTATGTTTTGAATGAGGACAAATTAGTTCAGAAAATGTTTAATGATCCAGAAAGTTTTGGTGCAGAAATTGATGCAGTGAGACGGCTTGAATTGTCAAATGCCCATTAGATTATGTGCGATGAAATGTCCCAAGGACTCAATTCATGACCATTGAGTCATCCCAGGAGTCCAGGGTCTGTTATGGGTATGAGATGTAAGAGTTGTGGCTATCTTAGGCAAAACTATTATGGGTTTGATTAACTTTCAGCCTAAACAATTCCTTGAGTTCCCCTCTAATACATATCAAGTCTTAGAATCAAATCTAGTCTGGCTTTTGCCACCAAAGCATCTATTGTGGGAACCTCACAAAACAGTGAGCTGTCTGTTCTTGTGATTCTACGTTAGCCTACATCCCAAGAGTGTGCCTTGTACAATTGGCTTTCCACCCTTTGTGTTGAAACTCTCGAGTTTGCACTTGAAATATTTTCTGCTCACCCTTATCTATTTAACAAATCCTTCCTGAAAGATTAGTTTTGTCTTGATGTGGGAGTCATTTTGATAGAGATGAGACACGAAAGCCTCAAAATGGATTTATTTTCCTGGAAGTAGTGTATGGAATGAGAAGATAATAAGGCTAAGAAAAAATGGCTTGTCTTCACCCTTGTTAACATCATGCTGTGACCTTAAATGTGTTTAAATTCTGACCAAAGTCTTCCCTGACATACACAAGCAGCAGAGTAGTTTTTAGACTAATGGTCTATGCTATTCATTGGAAATTTAATATTCACTTTGTAACTTTGTCCAGCTCATGGAGTGTAGGGCCCTTAACCCTATTGTTCTTTGTATCTCTCATAGAATAGCAGTTTTTTTTGCCTCATAATGTTCATTTAACAATGATTTACTGAACTGTGTTAAGGTAGGCAATATGGCTATCAATCCAAAAACTATTGAAGTAGAAAAATTGGAAAACCAATGCTTGTACAAGGTGTCAGTTATGCTATATCGACTATATATAAGGAGTCCGATGGGAATTCAGAAGGAGAGCATCTAATATCACCTGGAGGAGAACATTATGCTAAGGGAAATCTCAGTCACAAAAGGATAAGTACTTTGTAACACCACTGTTATAAAATAGGACAGACATGGGGGGTTGGGGAAAGAATGGGGAAAGAGTGGATAGATAATAGACACTACATTAGAACAGATAGGGGAAGAACTGTCAGAAAGGAGTATATGATTTTGCATTATATGTATGAGACCAATCTGGAGCAAGGGGTGCTGGGAAAGGGGGATGGAGGAGAGGGGAGAGAATGTTCAACAATGAACAAACAACAACAAAAAAATAAAGAAAAGATGATTCATGAGATGAGTAAATCCTTTGGGTGGCAGGGAGAGAAAGATGATTCCAGGGAGAGAATAGCTCGAATATATGTTGCAACAGTTTAGGCTGCAGTGATAACATCCCAGTAATGAACCAGGGACTGCACCCTCTAACTTGGAAATGAGCTACACATTTTTTCATCTGGGAACTAAATAGCTAAATAACAGCTTAGCAAGAATGTATTTCTGGGACTCTTTGTAGTTCACAATCAGTTATGGAAAAAATGTCCATTTTTATAGTTCAGATAGAGAAGATTTTTCTCTAACTTCCAAGATTGGTAAGTAGAAGTTCTTAAATTACCTGAATAATTATGCAACTCTCCCAATTCAGATGACCTTCTTGTTCTTGGAATACAAAGAGGGCCCCTTGCCCAGCAACCAGTACTTGTCCTTTTAGGCTGCTTTTCCTCTACTGCTTGACTGCACTCTTGCGCAGCTTTTTTTTTAAATAACTAACTATATGTTCACAAACTGGTAATATGTTGGAATTTCCTCTTTATTACAGAAGAATGATTTTCAGCTGTATGCAAAATATTGTCAGAATAAGCCCTTATCAGAGACAATTTGGAAGAAGTATTCTGATTGCACCTTTTTCAAGGTATAGTAACTACTCAAGTATTGAACATAATTATCTTAAAATCAGATTTTACTTTTAAATAACTGAAATACATGTAAATAGGAGCTGGAGGAATTCTCTTTAAGACACATGTGCGCGCACATCAACATTATTTGCTGCTTCCCAGAAATAACTGCTTTCAGCTCTTTTAGCTGCTTCTTTTGCTGTTTCTTCCATGTTTCTAAATAGCATGCTAATGTTGCAGCATCTTAAGTTTTCGCCAAAGTGATGCACTGTCTGTTATTTCCCACCGTGGCAAGTGAGTATGTAGCTCTCTTTCATTCTCCCTGTCCTATCTACTGCATGCATACACTTATTTCCCTTCTTTCAAATCATTCGGTATAGTTAGAGTTTTGTTTAGATTGCTTATAGTGTTAAATTATTAAGACTATGCAAGTTATATTCTCAATTGAATCATGTGGTATGATTGTTTTTCTTACAGTTGTCTTTTCCTTCACTTAGAGTTGTTGATTAGTTTTGGTGCATTGTTTTCGTCCTGCAACCTTGTGATTCTCTTTACTTGTGTCTTCTGTTGGTGCTTCTGTTTCCTATATGCCACAACTTTGTCTTTCTTGTTTTATGAAACATATATTAGTAGTTTCAGCATTTGTTGTTACTAGGTAATGTCCATTCTAGTATGACTCATAGCAACTCCATGAACCACAGATCTTAATCTTGTTCTAGTCTGTGCCATCCTCATAATTTTGGGCATACTTGAGCCCATTGGTACAGTCACTGTCAATTCATGTGAGGGTCATCTTCTCTTTTGTCAATCCTTTCTAAGCATATCTCATTCCAAGGAATAGCTTTTTTTAATAATGTGCCCAAAGTATGTGTGATGAGGCTTTGTCATCTTTGCCTGCAAAAAGTATTCTGCCTGTGCTTTCTCCAAGACATATAAGTTTGTTCTTTTGGAGGTCCATGGAATGTTCAGTACTCTTCTCTGACACTGCATCTCAGAGGTATCAATTCTTCTTTTGTCATCTCTATTCATTGTCCAGCTCTTAGATGCATAGCAAGTGACAGAAAAGACCATGGTCTGAATCAAGTGCACCTTAGTCCTCACAGTGACATCATTGCTCCTCAAATTTTGTCACGGTCCCTGACTACAGACTTTCTCAGTGTAATATTTTATCCTGATCTCCTGACTGCTGGGATCAAGTGAATTGTGCATAAAATAAGATGAAGTAACTGACAGTTTAAATATCACTGACGTTCCCTATCAGTCTAGTGGCAAGCATTTCTGTTTTCTTGATGTTCAGATGTGACCCATATTGAACATAGTAGTCTTTGATCTTTTGCAGTAAATTCTTTAAGCCTTCTCCAAAACTTCAAAAGCTTTCAGCAAGCAAGATCGTGCCATTGGCATAACGTAGGTTGTTGAGTCTCCTCTGATCTGAATACTACATACTTCTTCATGGAGTCCAGATTCTTCAATGATTTGCTCATCATCAGATTGAACTGGTATGGAGAAAGGATGCAACCTTTATACACTCTTTTTATGATTCAATACCATGCAGTATTCCCTTGTTCTGTTCAGATAACAGCTTCTTGGTCTAGATATAGGTTTCACATGAGCACAATTAAATGTTCTGGAATTCTCATTCTCTTCAATGCTAGCCATAGTTTATTATGATTCACACAGTCAAATGCCTTTGCATAGTCAATAAAAAAAATAGATATCCCTCTGATATTTTTGCTTTCAGCCAGGATCCATTTGACATCAGCAATGACCTCTGCGGTTCCATGGCCTCTTCTAAACCCAGCTTAAACTTATGGAAGTTCTCTGTCAATGTATTATTATAGCCATTTCTGGGTGATATTCAGCAGTATTTTGGTCATATGTGATTGTAATATTGTTTGCTAATTTCCACATTCTGTTAGATTACCTTTCTTGGGAATAGGAACAAATATGGATCTCTTCTAGTCATTTGGCCAGGCAACTGTGCTCTGAATTTTCTGGCATAAACTGGTGAGCATGCTCAGGCCTGTATCTGTTTGTTGTAACATGTCATTTGTTATCCCAGCAATTCCTGGGGCCTTCTTTTTTGACCAAGGCCTTCAGTGCACCTTGAACTTCTTCCTTCATTGCTATTGGCTCTTGATCATACAGTACTTCCTGAAATATTTCAATGTTGACCATTTTTTTTGTATAGTATATCTTCTTTTGATATTTCCTAGTTCATTCAAGATTTTTCCCATAGCATTTCTTAGCATTGCAACTTGAGGCTTGAATTTGTTTTTCAGTTCTTTCAGCTTGAGAAATACTGAGCAGGTTCTTCCCATTTTATTCCCAAATTCTTGCTCTCCACATTCTGTTGAATATTTTGCTTTGTCTTCCCACGTTGTACTTTGAAATTGTCTGTTCATCTCTTTACCTCAGTATCTCTTCCCTTTGTTTTGGCTTCCAGATGCACTAGTGCAACTTTCAGAATCATTTCTGACATCAGTTTAGGTTTTTTCTTTCTCCTCCATGATGTCTCTGAAAACTCTATGAACAATAGAAGAACATAGGTAACTATAGTATTAATGGTAGTGCCCAGACTGAAAGTCAATAAAAGTGAGGGAAACAGCTGCTGACATTCTTTAATAATTAGAATGTGGAGTATATGAAGTGTTAATATAGGAAAACTAGAAGTTGTAAAAAAAATGGATTGGGGCACATTAACATCAACATTCTGGGAATTGGTGAAATAAGATGGACTGGAATTAACCACTTTCAATCAGACAACCTCATGATCTACTATGTCGAGAATGAAAAACTGAGCAAGAATGAGATTGCATTCAGAGTTAAAAAGACAACTAACTGCAAATTCTATCCTGAAATACACTGTTGTGAGCGATAGGATAACATCAATATACATACAAGACTTGTTAATACAACTATTATTTAATTATATGTATCAACATCTAAAAGCCAAAGAGAATGAGTTGACTGTTTTCATGAAAATTGACCAAACATACAGTCAATATGCATGAATGATAATTGGTGACTGGAAGGCAAAAGTTGGAAACAATAAAGAAGGAATGATAGTTGGAATGTATGAATTTTATGACAGAAATGAAGCCAGAAAATAGATGATTGAATTTTGTATATTCAATGATTTATTAATCATAAATACCCCCTGAAGAATTGCACAGGAATCAGATTGTCTACATATGGGGAAGGAATCATTGGAGAAGCTCAGTATTAGATTACCAATTACTCATTTGCAAGTTCAAATTGAGACTGAAGAAAAGTAAAGCAAGTCCATGAGAACCAAAATATTACATTGAGTCTATCTCCCTGAATTTAAAAATCAACTTAAGAATAGATTTGAGGCATTGAGCACCACATGATCAAAGACCAGATGAATTGTGCGATGCCATCAAGGCTTTCATCCATGAAGAGAGCAAAAGGTAGTATGTTTAGGAGGTACTCTTTTAGAAAAAAATAAAATAACTTGAACACCTGACAAAGTTAGTATTTTTTCCTCATACTTGAGTGATAATTTTGCTGGGTAGAAACCATTTTCCTCAAGATTTCCAAGGTTTATTTCAGTTGCTTTTAATGTTTAGTGTTTTTGTTGAGAAATCTGATGCTATTTAGATTTTTTTTTTCCTTTGTGATTGACCTAATTTTTTGTCTTCTCTAAAAGTTTATGGGAATTTCTTTTATTCTTGTGATTTTCCTATTTTATGTTGTTGTTCCTTGATATTGGCATGTTTTCATTAATTGTACAGGGTTTGTGGTAAGCCCTTTCAATTTAAGACTTCCTGTCCAAATTTTCTTTGATTATTTCCTTGATTTTTCCAGTTCTCTTTTTCTGGAATTTCTGTTGAGTGAATGTTGAATATCCTTGGTTTTATTTTCTTAATTTTATAGTTCATTTATTTCTGCCATTATAGTTTTGAGTTTGAGGAGTCCCACTAATGTTTGTGATCTGCGATTATTCCTTTTAATAGCATACTTTTTTTGTTTAATGAATTCAGTGTTTCTACATATTTATAAGTGATCTGTGGTGACTTAGTGGCTATAGAGTTGCATTGTCAACCCTAAGTTGGGCAGTTTGAATTCATCAACTGCTCAGAGGATTTATAATGTGATTTCTAACTTCTGAAAACCCACCGAAGGGTCAGCTATGAGTTGATTCCAACTACACAACAGGTTGTTGAGAGTTTTGACGTATTTATATAAGGACAGCAATAGTAGATTTACTTTGAAAAATAATTTTCTCCCCTATACAGTTTTGTCTTCAAAGTGGTTTTGTATTTTCATTTTGTCTTTAATTCATATTAGATTTTCTCCTTAAATATCTGGAAATTCGTTTCTATTAATTTATATTATTGTTGTTATTATGTGTTGTGCAGTTGAAAATGACTCATAGTTGATTCTCCAGCACGTTTTCAGAGGCAGATTAATTACAAGGGAGGAGGTTGCCCATTCTCCCACCAAGCACCTGGTGAATCTGAACTGTGTGCCTTTGGGATTGTAATGTAGCTTCTTTTCACTAGGTCACCAGAGCTCCCTATTAATTTTTCTTAGGTGTAGGCATTTAAAAACTATTGGGAAGTTCTCTGTGCATGAGTGAGTTATTTTATCATAGTCCTCATTGTAGGATGATTTGCCTCAAGTGGTTTTCTTGGGGAGAAGGTAGACAATTTGGGTCCATTCTCTTAATTTGGTTCATTTCCCCAATCTGCCACCTGTTCCATAAAGATCTGGCTGCCATTATTCTGATATTCTAGTATGTAAAGAAGTACGGTAGTGTCTAATTTGGTAGATAAATATTCAAGTAATCTCCTTCTTTTCAATATAGTACACTACACTAGACATTACTGGACCTTGGACCTGATGTCCTCTAGTCCAAGCATCCCCTGTAAACTTCCATTTTTCCAGGGTGTAAGGAGGGCAGCCACTCTCTCTTTTTTTTTTTAAATTTATACTGAGTTAATTTCTTTTATAACAGTTTAGTTATTATTAAAAATTTAACAAAATCCACCTTTTAAAGTATAAAATTAATTTCTATCAGTGCATTCAAACGCATGTGAAAACTTCACCACAGTCAATTTAAGAACATTTTATCATCCATAGAAGAAACTATATCATTTAGCAATCACCTCCTTCATTTCCTCCTGTACTCCCCAATCCTAGGCAACGTTTGTTTATTCTAGGTATTTCATATGTTGTTGTTCTGACTCATTGCAAACCTGTGAACGGATATGAACCTTACCCTCTCCTGCACTATCCTCGGGATCTCTGTCATGATCAAGTCCATTGTTGTAATCACAGTGTCAGTTCATCTCATTGACAGTCTTCTTCTCTTTTTCTGACCCTCCTCCTTTTCCAGTATGATGTCTCTCTTTAAAGATTGATTCCTTCTGAGCATATGCCCCAAATAAGTGAGACAAAGTTTTCACTATCCTTTGATCTAAGAAGCACTCTTATTGCATTGCTTCCAACACAGATTTGATTGTTCTCTTGGAATTCCATAGTATATTCAATTTTCTTCTCCAACACTTCATTACAAAGGCATTGTTTCTTCTTCTGCCATTCTTATTCATTGTTCAGTTTTCAGATGTGCAGGAAATAATTGACAATTGCAATTTTATCTGGGAGGAACCAATATGAGACTTTGTGTTTGGCTTCTTTCACTGAGATATTTTCAAGGTTCATCCATGTATCATAACCTCATCATTTGATACTTAGTTATCTTGTTTTCACCCTTTGTCTGTTGTAAATAGTGCTACTGTCAACATTCATATATAATTTTTTTGTTTGAATACCTGTGTGCAGTTTTGGGGTTTATACCTCGGAGTTAAATTTATGGGCCATATGGTAACTGTTTATTATTTTGAGGAACTGCCAAACTCATCCAGAATGATTATACCATTTCACATTCCCACTAGTGATGTATTTCTCTACACCCTTCCCAACATTTGTTCTTATTTTATTGCTTCTTCAATAGATTTTCAACAACCTCCTTTTTAGGAATTTTTCTTTCATCTTCAAATTTCATCTGCTATTTGGCTCTAATGTGCTTGCTCAGCCACTTACCATTTATCAATGTGATTTCCATTTTCCATTTTTTGTCAAAGTTTCTTATATTTATACTTTTTTGTTTTTCTTGTAAAAATATGTCTTTGCCATTATTTAAGAGGGTGTGAAGAGGGAGCAGAATTAATGTATGCATCAGCTCACCATCTTCTACTTTAACTTGTTAGTTCTTATTTGAATTAGATTGTAGATTGGATTTTACCTGTCTTCAGAGGAGGCTCTAGATCTTATACAGGAATAGCCCTCCCCTTTCCCTTTGTGTCTACAAATCCTTTATGAATATTTCTTCCTAACCAATCTCATTGTATCCTCATTTTGGACCCAATACTGTTCCCAGGACCCAATGCCATGACCCTTATATTTATAGTGACTGTGAGTCAATAACCTTGATGAAATATAGCACCAATTAAAAGGACTTTCTTTTTCTTGTGATACTAAAGGGGAAAAAAAATATAAAAACCAACCCTCCAAAACCAAAAGTTTCCTCAAACCTACTCTTATATACATTTATCTCAACCTATTTCCCTTTTGGGCCTTGGCCTAACTTTCAGACAAATTAGATAACTTTTTCATCACGTTAATGTATTGTCATTTCTTTTTTAACTTTTCAGCATTCCACATCAATATCAGTGCCTATATGAAAACATTTTTTTTTTTGCCCTTGGAAATGACCTTTTCTCCCAAGTTCATGCAATTGTGTTCACTGTGATTTTTCATATATGCTATGTGTATATAGAGATATATATATAAATATATATATATATATTCATCTATCATCTATCTATCTATCTATCTATCTATCTATCTATCTATCTATCTACCTACCTACCTACCTACATACTTCCTCTTATAGTTCTCCCCCCATAGAAATTAGCATTTTCTTTGAGATGTAAGAAAGAAACATGCCTTGGGTCTAACTGGCATCTTCAAGGCACACATCTTCCTTTAACTTTTTTTTATACTTTCTTTTAATAACAGGAATGTCAAAAGAAATTAAAGCACAGACTTGGTCTGGATTCCTATTTACTCAAACCAGTGCAACGCATCACTAAGTATCAGTTACTACTGAAGGTAATTATATGAATATTTGCTTCATTCCTTACTTCCCTCTTTGGGTTTGATGTGACAGAACTGTTGAGAAGGGAGTAGAAGTACTAGAAATAGGTAGGTGCTCTGACTGGGAAGCCTGGATTCCGTAATAGAATTCATTCCGTGTCCTGCTTTGAGTCACTGTGCCTTAGACATAGCTGCCAAGCTGAGACTGTCAGGAGCCTTTTTCACCTATTTAATTCTCTATACAAGTAATAGTTGTTTTGTGTATATATTTTCACTGGAGAACTTTCAATATTATTAAGATCTAAAGGCATAAACATTTCTAATGGCTTTTGAGGCTGGATTTTAGACAGGCCTTCTCAGTGAAAAATGAAAATGACACTCCCCCTGCTGAAAGTATTACTAAAATTTTGAAATGGATATATAAATAAAACATTATTTATTTGAAGTATACTTTCACAATGTTCTATGCTTTATGAATCATGGATAAAACAGACTGTTTTACGTGGAGAGCAGTTGTTGCCACTGAGTTGATCCTAACTCATGGTGACTTCATGTATGAGAGCAGACTTGAGATCCATAGAGGTTTTGGTGACTGAATTTTCAGAATTATATCACCAGACACTGAGATTTTGATTGAGTCAAACACCTTATGTGCTGCTTTCAAAGTGTTTTCCATTAAAAAAACTTTAGATGCTCTTTGCTTTACATTGTTCTATTTCCTTAGTTTAACAGTTATTATTAAATACAGTACTAATGTGACAAAGAACATATGAAGGAAAGGACAGGCAATTCTTGGTTTACAAATGCCAGACTTATGAACAACCAGGAGTCCTGTAAAACCTATTGACAGTAAAAAAAGTCGAAGTCCATACAATGGTTTCTAATAGCAAATTGGCACTACTTGGTAACATGTACCTAAACATTTTTACTACTGTAATGTTATGTTAAAGATGTTTTAGTGCATTTCTAATAGTTGAATTTTTTAATGTATAGAAAGTTACACGATATATCGTAATCAAAGACAAATGTGATTGATATTAGATCTGAACTGTACTTGCCTGATCCAAAAGGCCATCAGCTTCTTTGAGGATGAAAGAATGGACAGTCTCCTCTTACAGATATTTACAATCTTGGATACCCAACGGAGGGTCACTGAGTAGAACCCGTTGAGTGGCAGAGGGTCAGGTTGGGTTTGGTGACTGTGCCAAATTCAACTTAAAGACAGACTTAGAAAGCGATTCAAAATTCAACTTAAAGACAGACATACTAAAATAACTTGTTCCAAAGCTGGAAATTGCCTGTGTGCAAAAGAAGTGACATCTTTGTTAGTAAAAAATGGAATCATTTTCTCCAGCTATTAATATCTGCCTAATATTAAGTCTAATCCCAGGCTTCTAATTACAGGAGCTATTGAAATATAGTGGTGGCTGTAGAGGAACTGAGCAATTAAAGCAGGCACTTGACACAATACTGGAATTACTGAAGTCAGTTAATGATTCGATGCATCAGATTGCAATCACTGGCTTTGTGGTAAGTAGTTGCTCATGATCACTGGGGCTTGGGGATGCAGTGAGCATGTTAACATCCCTTTCTGCTCGACTGGAACTGATGGAGAAATAAGATGTTGTGAGAGGCAGAGAAATGGGACCAAGATATCCACATCATTACCACTGATGCTAAGTGGAGAATTGCCTGCAGATGTACATCCAAATGGATTCTCAACCTTCCAGTTGTCCGTAATGCCCACCTCTGAGTGCAAACCTGGAAACCCGTACTTGGAGGAATATTTGGAGATATTAAGGAGATAGACTTTTCTAGAATGGCTCCATTGCCTCATTGTTCAGATCTTCTTCCAGTCCATCTGGAAGAAAAGAACCAAATCTTCAGAGTTTGCAACTTTTAAACAGATTGCATTCACCTACTGGGGGAACTTGGACTGGTATGTGTTACTACAAGTCACAATGGAAGCAGAGATAAAGACTTCCACAAGGAGGCAGGAGATAAAGGAAACTAAGAAAAGAAGGAATAAATAATGCACATTGCATTGAAACAGATGAGGGAGAGACCTAGAACTGTTTAAAAGGAATATATGATTAGCTATTATTTTCATGACAAGAGTCCAGAATAAGAGATGCATAGAAAGTGGACTGGGGTCAGGGATTGTATAACAGTGAAAGAATTTTTTTTTCTTTTCAAAGAGAAAAGTGAACTGGGGAGGAGGGAGAGGTGGGCAGGGAGGAAAATGTGCAACAGTGAATGAATGGAAATCCAAAGTCTCTATAAACTTTCATTAAAATCTCAATTATAAGATTAGGTATCATTTGCATGACAACAAGAGGTGCATAGCAAAGTAGACTGGGTGGGAGGAAATTGTGCAACAATGAAAGAATTTTTTTTTCAAAGAGAAAAGTGAACTGGGGAGGGGGTAGAGAGGAAAATGTGCAACAATGAATGAACAACAATGACAACAACAAAAAAGAAGTGTCTCCTTTCTCCCAGCCACCACAGCAGTTTTGTACTTAAGGCAACACAGGGTGTGTTGTTGCCTAAAAAGTTATGATGAATATGTATTTTAATGGTTTCCTAAGTATTAACTATACTTTCCCCCCCTCTCATTTTTTAGAAGAGGAAGGAAATTACCTAATTATAGAAAAGATATATAGTGGTAGGTTGGGTGAAGGGAAAGATAATATAATGATTAAGTGGTTAAAAATCTATGTAATTCATGCTTCAGGGTTTTAGTGGCTCCAATATAACCCCACAATGTTGCTATCAAAGACTTGAATGTTGCCCTGCTTTGTACTAATGTCTTTGGTCTCCGTTCCAGGGAGACCTGAGCGACCTGGGCAAGATGATACTGCAGGGCCCATTCAGTGTGTGGACTTGCCACCGGAAAGGGACCACAAAAATGACGGATTTTGGTAGATTCAAGTCAACACAGCGACACATTTTCTTGTATGAAAAAGCCATTGTTTTTTGTAAAAGCTACACTGAAAGCGGAGACAGCTCTGACAGATATCCATCCTACAAATTTAAACACTGTTTGAAGGTAAGATAAGTTAAATTGCACAGCATGATATTAAGTTGTACACATTATGTAAATTATGTGTGTGCTCATGTGTGTGTACATTATATGTATGTGCTTACATATCATTTGTAACACAGAGTTTGCATAGTTTTCCATTCAAATGAAAGTTCCCTACTTTGGCTACCTGTTCTTTCATAGAAAGGAAACCTTATGTAGAAACTTGCTTGTAATGAGCGTAAGTGCAGAGTTTTGATTGGTCCCTTCCTTTCTTCCCTTACCCTAACTCCAGACCTGTCCTCAAGGGGGCGTCCTCCTGTGCTGCAGAGCACTTAAATACTAAGGCCTCTCTGAGGCTCCCCACCCCACTGTTTAACAATCTCTACAAATCATACTTGGTGGAGGTCTTGGAAGCAAGGAACACTGTTGGTGCAAGAGAGATAAGGAGAGGAAAAAGGTTTTGTTGGGTTCCCCCCCCCCATTCTCCATCTGCTTTGTCCTATCTGCCCCAAGTGCCCAACCCTTAGACATTACTTTCTTGTGTTTGATTACCAAAGCTGTGGTAATTTTTGTCATTTTGTGCTATTGATAATTTGGTATTTTAAAATGAGAGCAGTATTTATTGTTTATGGAAATCACCAGTGACCCAGTGACCCAGGCAAGTTTCACCATTTGACAAGAGGAATGTGCCTGTTTGCCTTGGTCTATAAGCAGCAAGGTCTTTTTTCCCTCCCTCTTTTTCCTTTATAGCTCATTCACTTTGTATTTCAATTGGAAAAGCAGTATAACTTCTGTTATAAAAAATTGGCAAAAAATGTTGTAAAAAATCACCCTCCATCTCCAGCTGCTACCATTTTGGTCATACTTGCCGTCACCGACATATTTGAGCACTGGTAACATTTTCAGCAGTAGTCAGGAAAGAGTCCCTAAGTGGTACAGACAGTCAAGGTGCTTAGCTGCTAACTGAAAGGTTAGAGGTTCAAGTTCATTGAACTGCTGAGAAGTCATCCACTGAGAAGTCCTGAGCACGCAGTTTTCCTCTGGCATACATGGGTTCACTGTGTGTTAAAATCGACTCCTTGACAACTGGTTCCAGTAATGAGGACAAGATATTTCATCCTGGAGGCATTTGTGTGAAGACAGTCCCAAATCCACAGGCCCCACCTAGGAATTCAAACTACAGGGGTTACCCTGAAAGCAGAGAGGGTACACTAGATATGAGAAGCATTTCAATAGGAAAATGAAATAGCCTAATGGACACTGGCAATAAATAATATATATTTGTGAGAACATTGCCAATTTAAGCCTTCTTTGGGTCTAAAGCAAACAAACAGCAACTGTACCAGTGTCGGTTGGGTCCCACTCATGGCTACTATTCTCTGGGTGTCTGAGGCTGTAAATCTTTCCAGGAAGGAACTGCTCATCTTTCTTCTAAGGAATGACTCAAACACCTGACCTTTTGGTTAGTAGCCCAACATGTTGTGCACTATACCACTCCTTATCCTTAGAAAGAAAAGATTAGTCCGTGATAGCGGCATGGTTTTGGCCCAGGGTTACTGGGAAAGCATAGATGCCACTGACTGAGGCAGATGCAATTTGAGAACATTGCTTTTACCTCATATGTACTCTTGCTGACCTGCCCGGAGAGTTCAGTATAAAATAGGAAACAACTGCTATTCAAAGTGTTGCTCCACAGTCTGAGTTATGAGATGCAAAGACTTAGCCTTCTCCAGGTGCTCTCTCCTTCTGAGCAAGAGCGGCCTATTGCCGTGACCCCATCATAACCTGTTACCCCATTGCACTCAATCATTTCCAACTCACAGGAATCCCACAGGACAGAGTAGAACTGCCTCATGAGGTTTTCTAGGCCACAGAACTTTACAGAAGCACAGGGCCTCACCTTTCCCCTGCTCGTGGGTTTAAACCACCAACCTTCCAGGTAGCAGCCAGATGCATAACCACTGCTCCATCAGGACTCCTGACCCTATCATACCAAGGTGGAATCTTGTATTTTTCTGACCATGTATTTTCTAATGACTATATGAGCTCTGGGGCCTAGTGGCGAGGAGTTGTGCTCCCTACCCAAAGGCATGCTGTTCGAATCCACCAGTTGCTCCACAGGAGAAAGAGGGGCAGTCTCCTCCTGTGATATTTACTGCCTCTAAAAACCCACTAGTGGTTCAGCTGAGTCAGTTCTGACTTAAAGAGTATCGAATATACCATGGACTGCTAAGAGAAGAAACAGTTTTGTCCTGGAGAGGGTGAAGCCAGGCTGCTCCTTGGAGGCAAGGATTCTGAATCTTCATCTGACATACTTTGGACATGTTGCAAGGAGGAGCCAGTGCTTGGAGAGGGACGTCATGCTTGGGAGGGTGGAGAAACAGTGCAAGAGAAGAAAACCCTTGATGAGATGGATAGATTCAGTGACTGGGGTAATCGGGATGGGTGTGTCAGAGGCAATGCGATTGTCACAGGACAGAGCAGGGTTTAGGGCTGTTGTACATAGGGTCGCTATGAGTCACAAACGACTCGACGGCACATAACAACAACATATTTAAAATTGGCAAAGAGAGGTCCTATAGTCACACTTAATCATATACCATGATTTGGGTTATCCAGATTCCTTTCTCATGCATTTATTGTCATCCATTTTTAAACAACCATGCAGGTGGTGCTATGTGCCAAGAACTGTTCTAAGTGTTTGCAAATACCAGTATTAATGCATTTAGTCATCATAACAACTTTCTATGAATTATACACACAAAAAAATTGATGCACAGAGAGGTAACTCACACCAAGTCATATTGGTAGTAAGTAGTAAAATGTACCTCTACTGAGATAATAATTTAGAAGATTGACCAATCTAGCAAATAATCCTTAAAATACCCGTTTAAATGAATTTTGGCCCGAATTTTCATGAAAAACCAAAACCAGACCTACTGCCATCCAGTCAATTACAACTCTTAGTGACCCCGTGGGTCAGAGTAGAGCTACCTCACCAGATTTCCAAGGCTGTCATCTTTACAAAAGCTGACTGTCACCTGAAGAGAAGCTAACAGGTCCAAACTGCCTGTCTTTAGTTAGCAACCAAGGGCCCTATGTCTCTTCACACTGAAGTTTAATGAATTTTTCTGTCCCTTGGCACCACAATGAGTTTTAGTTGTGTTTGGCTTGTTTATAACAGAAGTCAATTTTAGATGGGATAATTGGATGTGCAGGTTTAGAATATTTGTTTCTATCATTGGAATACACACTTAATTGTGCTCATATAAAACCTACATGTAGACCAAGAAGCAGTCTTTTGAACAGAACAAGAGAACATTGCAAAGTTTAAAATTAGGAAAGGTGTGCACCAAGGCTGTATCCTTTCCTCATATTTATTCAACCTGTATGCTTACCAAATCATTTGAGCAACTGGACAGAATGAAGAATGTGGCATCAGGATTGGAGGAAGACTCTTCAACAACCTGCCTTATCCAGACACTACAATCTTGCTTGTTGAAAGTAAAGAAGGCTTGAAACACTTGCTGCAGAAGATCAAAGACTTCAATATGGATTCATCTCAACATCAAGAAAATGAAAAAATCCTCACCGCTAGACAAATAGACAACATAATGACAAATGGAAAAAAAGGTTGAAGTTTTCAACAGTTTCATTTTACTTGGATCCACAATCAGCAGTGAAGAAATAAAAAGATATGTTGTTGTCACGTGCCATTGAGTCACCTGTGACTCATAGTGACCCTATGTGCAACAGCCCTAAACCCTACCCTAAACTGTGACCCTATCCTGTGCCCATCTCACTGTCTCTGACACACCTACCGCCATTATCCCAGTCACTGAATCAACCCACCTCTTTGAGGGTCTTCCTCTCTTGCGCTGTCCCTCCACCCTCCTAAGCATGGTATATTGTGTTGGGAAAGTCTACTGTCGAGGACCATCCCACTGTGCTAAAGAACAAGGATGTCAGTTTAAAGACTAAGGTATATTTGAGCCAAGCCATGATATTTTCAATTGCTTCCTATGCATCTATCTGAATGCTGGAAAAAAAACCAAGGAAGACTAAAGAAGTGATGCCTTTGAATTGTGATGTTAGAGAAGAGTATTGAATATACTATTAACTGTCAAAAGAACAAACGAACCTGTCTTGGACGAAGTGCAACCAAACGTCCTCTTCCATACTTAGGGTGTATTTTCAGGAGGAATCTTTTACTTTTTTTTTTTTTAAGAAAATGCCATGATTCTGGGAAAGGTAGAGGGTATGAGAAAGAGAGGATGATCTGCAAGGAGAAAGAGAGACTCTAACAATGTGCTTGTCATGTTGGAGATAGTGAGGGTAGAGCCAGATAGGACATGGTTCAGATCTGTTGTTCAAGGGGTTGCTATGAGTCATACTCGACTTGACGACACCTAACAACAACAGCAACAGAATGAAGCATGCCGTCTGAACTTCAAAATGCATTAAAGAAACAAAAATCCCCACTGCTGTTGAGTCAGTTGCAATTCATACCAACCTTCCACCAAGTTTCTGAAACGGTGAATCTTTACAGGAGGACAGTGCCCGTCTTTCTCCCACAGAGTTATAGCAGATTTGAATTGGAACCCTTTTGTTTGGTAGCCCAGTATGCTAGCAGGACTCTCTATAAAGTGAATAGTTCGAAGAGATCATGCAAATACTCTTGCCAATTACTAGTGATTTCATATTTGTTAAGTATAAACCAGATGTTTTGCCCAAGTGAACAGTTGTTTTCTTAGAGAATGATGAGATAAATTTATTTTATTTCCCAAATAAAAATTCTCATGAGAATGTTTACTTCTGTTTTATAGTTGGATAACATTGGACTCACTGAATACGTAAAGGGAAGTAATCGCAAGTTTGAAATCTGGTGCAATGCGAAGGAAGAAATCTATACTGTGCAGGTAGGCCATTTTCAATTTATTCTTAACATAACTTAATATACAAAAGTCTAAATTTGAAAGGAAAGATAATTTTGGCCCCAAGTTCCCATCCCTTACATGTAGGCTACTTAAATATTATTGGAGTATTGTAAATTGTGATATACCTAACCATATTTGTTTCAGTAGCTCATGCCTCTTTTTGCTGAAATAGAGGTATAGCTTTGATTGATGTTCTCTTGGGATGTACATTTTCTCAACTGGACTAGATTTATCAACTCTCGCTGATAGCATGGCTGGGGCTCCTCTGTTCCTATCAAGTTTCTAGGGTCAAAACAATTCGAAGAACCTCCTGTGGGTAGAATGTTAAGGGTTCGTGATGATAAGAGATGATTTTACTGTAACTATCAATCTGTTTACTGAAAGGGAGAGACATCAGAATCCGTCTGAGGATACCATCATTTCATCATTTCACGAAATCTTTGCATGACTTGTGACAACTGAATATACTGTTGTCTGTTAAAAATGCTCGTTGTTTTTTTCTTGTTTGTTTAATTATGTTCTTGAATTCAATTAATAAACATGTGTTTTCATAGTTTAGTTTAGGTATATTATGAACAAACTTCCAATGTAAGCAATGTGAGAATATGTTAGGGAGTTTTCACTCTGTATTCTGTAACTAAAAGAAGTATGTAATAGATTATCTTTCCATGAATAGTGGCATTTATGTGGGGTTTTTTTTTTAACCAAAAAATTACATTATATCTTGCATTTTCTCAATTATTTTATTCCACCATTTAAAGGTCATTTCAAGATGCCTGTGTTTCATCTAAATCTCTTATTCATTACATAGAAGTTTTAAGAGTCAAAATTAGAACTCTCAAGCTGGGTTTAGAAGAGGTCATGGTATCAGGGATACCATTGCTAATGTCAGATTGATTCTGACTGAAAGCAGAGAATATCAGTAGAATGTCTATTTGTGCTTTATTGGCTTTGCAAAGTCATTGGACTATGTGGATTATAACAAACTGTGGTTAAGGTTGAGGAGAATGAGAATCCCAGAATACTTGTATGCTCATTAAAAACCTATATGTAAACCAAGGAGCTGTTGTTCAAACACAGCAGGGAATGCTGCATGATTTAAAATCAAGGAAGATGTGCATTAGGGCCATGTCCTTTCTCCGTACCTATTTAGTCTGTATGTTGAATAAAATAGCTTGAAAATCTGGACTCTATGAAGAATGTAGCATCAGGATTGGATGAGGACTCATCAACAACCTGTTCCATGCAGATGACACAACCTTACTTGCTAAAAGTGAGGAAGACTTGAAACACTTGCTTCAGAAGATAAAAAAAACAAAGCAAACCAGCCAACAACAGACCTATAGCTTTCAATATGTATTACATCTCAACATAAAGAAGACAAGAATCCTTACGACTGGACCAATATGCAACATCATGATGGAGAAAAGACTGAAATTTCCAATGACTTCATCTTACTTGGATCCACAATCAATACCCTTGGTAAAGCAATCAACAGATATGTTGCATAGGGTTAAGTCTGCTGTTAGTGCTCTCTCTAAAATATTGAGGAGCGAGGATATCAGTTTGAAGACTGAGGTGTGTCTAATTCAGGCCATGGCCTTTTCAATGATTTGCCATGAATCGGTGAGCTGGAAAATGAATAAAGATGACAGAGAATTGATGCCTGCCAAAAGAACAAAGTGGAGAAAGTGTATCCAGAGGCAACATTGTCAAAGCTTTGTCTCATATACTTTGAGCATGTTGTGAGGAGGGACCATTACTTGGAAAGGGAAGTCATACTTGGAGAGGTAGAGGGTTAATGAAGAGAAGAAAACCTTTAACGAGGTAGATTGACACAGTAACTGAAGCAATGGACTCAAGTATGTCAGAGATGATGAGGATGGCACAGATAGGGCAAGGTTCAGATCTGTTGTTAACAAGATTGCCGAGTTGTACTTGACTCAGCGGCATCTGACAGCAACAACATGGTGTGGTAAGGAGTATATTGTGTTTAACAGACTTAATGACAATATTTTTCATAAAGCATCTTCTTAAAAAGTGTTATTTTCCTTCTTTTTAAATCTTTAGGCACCAACTTTAAATGTGAAGACATCATGGTTAAGAGAAATAAGAAATATTCTGTTGAAGAATCATGAATTTATGACAGGTAATTTCAAATATGTACTGTTCAGAACAAGAAGAACAGTAATAGAACACTGGCTCAAATTTTACGGTAATCTTTACAGAGAATGGGGCTGATTTGTACAGGCAGTTCCCTGGTTACAAATGAGACCCATTCTTAGCTGTGTGTTTAAGCCTTTAGGTGGAATTGGTGCACACAGTTCTTACTTGTTTTGTCATATTGTGTGTAATATACAGGGCTACTAACGAAAAGATGGAGCTTTGGTGCCTTAGAGGGTAAGGAGTTGCACTACCAACCCAAAGACACACAGATCTAATCCACTAGCTGCTCTGTGGGAGAAAGATGGACAATCTCTTCCTGTGAGATTAGAGCCTCTGAAACCCCCCTGGAGGATCCACTATGAGTTGGTTCTGATTCGATGGCACATGACAGCAACAATAACAACAAACCAAAAGATTGGCACTTCAAATCCACCATTTGCTCCCCAGGAGAAAGATGAGGCCATTTCCTCCTATAAAGATTGACAGTCTCAGAAACCAAAGAAAGCCACCATGAGTGGGAACCACTTGACAGCCGTGGCTTTGTTTTGGTTTTGTGTTAGTACAAGGACAGGCTCAAAGCCTTTTCAGTGCTTTCAAAGTGGCCCATGCAACAAGTGAAGGTGATTGTGGTGAAGAGTTTGTTGTGAGTAGAGGTTGGTTCAGTCTTTTCCAATTTACATAACAGTGAAAAGCACTTTGGAATTGTAAAAGGGAGGTTAGAAACCAGTGACTGCCTGTACTTTGTAATAAAGTTTTATTAATTAGTAGTGAGATCAAGATTCAGGAGGTTATTTAAATGAATTTATATTTAAAGTCAAAAAAGAGTGGTGAAGCAATGAAACAAATTGACTACGTTACTTTTTTAATTTTTATTGTATTATTTTTACATGTACCATCAAATCAGATCTGACTGATACAGGAGGAGATTGTTCCCTCCTTCTCCAGCAGAGCATCTGGTGGATTTGAACTGCATACCTCTGGAATTGCAGTGCAGCGTCTTGCCACTAGGCCACCAGAGCTCCCTTGAATACATTACTTTTACGTCCTTCTAATGCTACAACTCTTCTCAAACTATCTGTAAATCCTTGCTCAGCAGCTCAAGTTCTTGTCCTAAACATGTACTTCTTAACTCAAATATTGTATGATTCAGATCTCTCCCAAATTCTACATTCAAACTGACCTTCTCATTGGTTATTTAAAGTCAAGGAAAGTTTGTCTTTAATAGAGATCAAAGTGTATGTGTTATTGACCTTCAGAGAAGTATTTAGAGTGGTTTCTGAGTAACAATTAGATCTGTTTCATTTCACAGTTAAAAAACAAGAGCAACTGCCTCAGCCACCTAACTGGGACCCATTTTCTTTTCAGAAGAGTGACAAGTAAGTGTTTTTCTCTAAGTGGGTATCACTTCTTAATCCTCTGTTTTGTGTATGGAACAAGAAATAACGTAATTGAAGGGTCTCTGACAAACATCACTCACCATTTTAGCAGTAACTCCTCAAATTCTATAAAAACATGTTTCTCAATTCTAGCCTTGAACTTGGAGCTTGATGGACCATAACAATTTTCCCTTGGAAGCCTGATGCTCCCTTATTTTTATGCCTTTCCAATTTCAGAAAGCAGCAGCGACGTTTTCTAAGCAGTGGATGTGAATATACTGGCGCTCTGGCGGGCGTTTGTGAAGCAGCCATGCCCGTTAAGGTTGAAGAAGACACAGGTAGGTGTACTGGTCATCTGCAAGTGACATTTATGGTGTGTAAGTTTCCATCTTCCATTGCTAATTTAGAAAAGCTACCTGCCTTTTAAAAGGAAAAAAACAACAGGGTTAACCCATTTCTGAAAGCATTTTATGACTTACATGTGAAAGATGCTCTAATGGGCAATGTGAAGCCATGGTTGCCAACGTGGTGTCCTTGGAACACAGCAGCATCACTTAGAAGCTTGTTTGTAAGACACAATTTCATATCAGAAAAAAATTCTATATATAAATTAAGTACTTCCTATACACAGAGGTCTTTGGAGACTTACAGGGATGCATGTGCAACCTGTGGTCTCTACCCAATTGTTGTTAGATTCCGTTGAGTTGAGAACGATTCATAGCTACCCTATGAACAAAAGATCTAAACGCTATTCTGTCCTGTGCCATCCTCACACTTCCAGACACACAAGAGTCAATTGCAGCAGTCACTGTGTCAATCCACCTGGCTGAGGGTCTTTCTCTCCTTTGCCGACCCTCCACCCTTCCCAGCATCATGTCTTCCTCCAAGGAATATCTCCTCCAAAGTATGTGAGGTGAAGCCTCATTATTCTTGCCTCTAAAGAGCACTTAAGCTGCACCCTCTCCAAGACATATCTGTATATTCTCTTGGCCGTCCATGGGATGTTCAATGCTCTTCTCCAACACCACAGCTCACAGGCGTCAATTCTTTTTCTGTCATCCTTATTTATCATCCAGCTTTCAGATGCATAGTAAGTAATCGGAAAGATCATGGCCTGAATCAGAAGTGCCTTAGTCAGAACTGAAACAAGTAAAAAAAATAATTATAATACCAGAAACAATGTAATAACTGATATGACTAGCCTCAGTCAAAATGCAATAGGAAGAATATTTTGAAGAACAGAAGAGAACTATATGGTCTCCAACATGTCACTTAGGTTATAGTTTAACAATTCTCCCAAACTTTAAAAAATTTATATTGATTTGCATACAAAATTTATATATATAGTGTTTTATCCATGTACAATATGTTTCACACAGTCATTTATTAACATTGTGTTTCATATACATTGTGTTTTATTAAAGCAGTCACCATTGATAGATGCCTACCATTACTCTTTCCTTTCAGGTCCCCATTGGATACTTCTCAATTCCTTCACCCCCTCCCTCCACCCACCAAATTCTGCAATCCCAGTCATGTATCCCTTTCCCACCCTAAGCCCTCCTTCTCCCTTCCCTTCACTTTTTGGACTTTTATACACTTCTTATTAGTTATCATTCTATTTTTACCATAATGGTCTAATGCAGTTTTTGTCCTTATGAGACTGAGTTATTTCACTCAGCATAATGCTCTCTAGCCGCTCTCCCATGGTTTTCTTTTTTTTTTTTTACTTTTATCTTATACTGATTTCCTTACAAACTCTATATACATTGTGTTTCATACTATCCTTCATTCACATTGTGTTTCATACAATAATTTTTATTCACTATATTTTATAAACTTAATCAACACTGAAATATGCCCACCATTGCTCCATCTTTCCAGATCCCTGCCAGATGTTTTCCATTTTCCTCTACCCACCCCTCCCTCGACCCATCAAATTGTGTGACCCTATAGTTTCCCCCCATCCATCCTCAACTCTCTGCTCCTACTCTCCCCGCCCTTGGATCCTCACCCATGTTTTATTAGTTATCTTTCTACAATAATGGTCATATACAGTATTTGTCCTTATGGGACTGATGCTCTCTGATTCCTCCCAAGTTATGTAGTAATTTTCGAAATCATTTCTCCTTAGTGCTGCATAGTATCCCTTTGTGTGAAAATACCACACCTTCTCAATCCATTGACTGTGGTTGGACATTTGGGCTGTTTTCATATTCTTGTGATGGTGAATAACACTGCTATAAACATTGGTGTGCAACTATACATTTGTGTCTCAGTCCTAATTTTCTCAGGATATATTCCAAGCTGTGGAATAGCTATGTCATATGAAATTTCTATATTCAACTTTTTGAGGAAATGCCAAACTTACTTCCAGAGTGGGTGTACCATTTTACAATCCCACTAAAAGTTTAAGAAAGTTCCTATCTCTCCACATTCTCTCCGACATTTATTGTATGTTGTCCTATTAAACTTTGCCACTGCTGCTGAGGTGAGATGCTATCTTACTGTGCTTTTGATTTGCATCTCTCTTATTGCCAGTGATTTCGAGAATTTCTTCATGTGTCAGTTGGCTAACTGAATATCCTCCTCTGTGAAAAGTTTTTCCATGTCTTTTGACCATTTTATAATTCTGTTATCAATCTTTTTCTTGTGGAGGCCCTCTAGGATTCTGTAACTTTTGTTTTGAGACCCTTGTCTGAAATGGCATTGACAAATGTTTTTTCCAATCAGTAGGTTTTCTTTTCACCCTGTTGTAGAAAGTTTTTGATGTGCACAAGGTTTTAATCTTTAGAAGGTCCCATTCATCAATTTTCTCCTCTCCAGATTGTGTATTTTTGGCTGTATTTGTCAGTCTCTTTATATAGACCAGACCTTCTAAACTTGATCCTATTTTGTCTGTTATGATCTTTATGGTTTTGGGTTTTACCCCTAGGTTTCTGATCCATCTAGAGTTGTTTTTATGCATAGGGAAAAGGTGTGCATCCTGCTTCCGCTTTCTACAGGTTGTAGTCCAGTTTTGCCAGAACCATTTGTTGAAGATGCTGTTATTTCCCCATTTGATAGGTTTTGTTTCCTTGTCACATTAAATTTGCCAATTGCATTTTCTATCTCTTTAAAAAAGGAATTTATTGTCTGTATTGGGATTGTATTAAATATGTAGATTCCTTTTCATAGGATTGTCATTTTCATTATGTTGAGTCTTCTT